TGTGTAGTGCTTTACAAAGGATTAGTGTTTCCTAGGTATTTCAGAGAGAACCAAATTCTGTCTACAGAAGAAAGTGACGAGTTTAAAAGCTTCATAGAAAGCCACAACAACAGCTATGAGAGAGACTATAATAAAAAGAAAAGAAAGAGATATATAACTATTCTAGTTATTGCCATTTTCTTTCTAGTAATAACGTTTTCTGCTCTATTGGTATTAACAAAACCGCACATTGACAATAGCGACACATGGAGAAGAATAAATGCAGAAAAAGACAAAAGCATCCGCAATGTTATAAACAAAATGACTGATGAAGCAATTGGCTCAGACATAAATGAATACCAGCATTCGCCTTCAACTAATAGGCAAAGGATAGTTATAAGAGACGTATCTGCAGCTACCGAATTCAAAAACATTCACATTGGTGACTATCTGCCGCTTTATAAAAACTACGTGCTAACCAAAGACTATCTAGTGCATATTATGAGCAATTCAACTGCCCTGCACACTAAAAACCGAGTAACAATGCCTATGCTGAGAGGCTTCCTTATGATGACACAGGATGAAGAATTTGCAAATTCAATAAAACTTCATCCTGTATACTTGCAGAATATTAATACATACAATCAAAGATAGTCAATAAAGATATGTTCACTTAATAGCTTTCTTTTCTTCTGTAAAATATGTGTTTTGTGTGGAAACCCTGCACAATCCTGTTTAGATAGCATTGTCTGCGCCCTACACTGGGCAAAGAGATAAAAATGATCACAATGAAGCTTGAATAAAACTTTTATTGCTGATGGAGGGCACCCAGACAGAAAACGAAAACCTGTACGAAATAACCAAATGGCAAAAAAGCCAGCTGCTTTTCTTCAAAAAAACAATCAGCGACATAAACAGCGCAGTCTTTGCGCCTTTCACACCAGACGAGTCGAGAGTATTCGCTTTCGCAATGACGTGTATCACCTACGATGTGCTATGCAACATTCTTTTCAATGCATTAAAAATTAGCGTGATTAACTATGCAGTGAATACAGCGCCTGACATAGCATTTAACACCGCTGACATAGACCCCATCTGGCTCTCTTTCATTCTCCCTGCCATAACAACATACATCATTTTCACGGGAGCGAACATACCAAGCTTTTTTTTCATGGAGAGAAGAATGAATAAATATGACGTGTCCAATGTCATTGTGGGGGTGGGCAAGATTAAGGAGCTGTCTCTATTTTTGTCTTTGATAGCTGTTGCGCCGCTGATAGGCATTCTTTTGATCTTCCCTGCTGTATCTTATATATCCAGCATCCACTACTATGCTAGTATTGGTATGTACCTGCTCGGTCTTAGCCTGATGTACTCAGAGTATTCAAGCATTACGTCAAACTCGCACAAATACTTTGAATTCAAAAGAAACCTTGGGAGCATAGTTGCGTTCATAGCCAAGCTAATATATGCCATAGCGGTTATTGTGACAACAATATACATTTTATGCCCAATGCTGGTGCTTTTGGCGACTTTTTTCTTTCACATAGTGGACTTTAGTTTAAACCAAAAAATAAACTAGCTAAGGCTCTTCCCACCTTGAACATCGTGTCTATTTAATCAAAACAAGAAATAAAGAGCTGTTAGCAATGTTAGTCTGTCCCAGCAGCCTTATAGCTTATGCATCTTACATTTGCAGTTCTTCTATCCTGCTGCGATATAAAAGTTTGCCATTATCATTTGATTTAACTAAACAAAAGTTTAAATTGCAATGGAAAGTATAACATACTGGCGATCAGCTAAATCTTATGAAAGAAGTGTTCAATGACGCAAACGAGCCAGCAGGCTACCCAGTGTACATCACAATAGGCGGAAGAAAATATACGTGCAGCTCCATGATATTTAATGTGTTCGTCAATGCTTTTTCAAACTGTCTGGCAATAATCTGCATTTTCACCACTCTCAAAATATCAACCAAGATACTATCCAGATTTGTTACGGTGTATCCCAAGTGGAACACATGGTTCCCCATCATAATGACCATCTGCATTTACTTAGGGGCTAATGCACCAGCCATTTTATACACGAATAGAAGTGTGACAGGATACAGTGATTATACTAGCATCATGGAACAAGCCAAACAAATATTTTTGTCTTTGTATATATTTGCTATCAATCCTCTGGTAGCTCTATACCTAGCACACTATGTATACAGCCTGTACCTTGTTTCTTCTAAATTCGAGTCTTTTCTAATCCGAGGCTTTGCCAATGTAATGTGCTTCTATGCGCTTTATAGTGAGTTCATGTGCATAAAAAACAGCGACACATACTTTAAAATAAATGAAAGCTCTGAAAGCGCAATTATCGACATAAACACGAATAAACTCAAACTAAGAGCAACAGCGAGTGGTATGCTCATGCTTCTAGGCAAAACATCATACGCTGTAATGTTGTCCTTGATGTTTGTATACATTATATCATCTGATGTACTCAATGAGCTATCACGTCTGTACGATATCCTAGAATCTACTTTCTATATTTTCATTGAAAGTCGATCAGGAAATAAAGTATGATTCGAAAAAAAAGAAAGAAATATACATTGCACAGTCTAATAAATCAAAAGATCTAATCAACAAATATTTTCTTATCTTTATATCCCTTTCTACTCTATAGTCTACGAGATGCTTTTTCATGCTCTGTGGGCTTTAAATTGTCTAACAATCGGTTAAATAAGCAAGATACCACATTATTAAAGAGAATACTTTTTATAAAAATTAGAGAACTAGCGAGTGTAGAATGAACATGTATATAGAATTTATTTTACACAGAAAAATAAAAATAAAAGTGTACATGTTTATTAAGTGTAGATACAAAGATCTTATCACCATTATGAACACAGCAATACTGTAAGTCTTTTTATGCAACCACTACCTCAGTTGTACAAGTACAAACTATTGTTGAACTATTCGTTATATATCGACAGGTACTGAACCATCTCCCTTGCGTATATAATGATAGAAATAGTTGGAGCTATCAGACACAAAGAGAGAACGCTGTCGATTGCCTCCTTAAAGTCTTTCTTTCTGTCTCGGCTGTACATACCGCCGCATGCACACCTTTTCACTATGGTTCCTGCGCTTGGCTTCTTGCACACAGTGCATTTTCTTTCCATTTTAACCGCTTTTCTGACGCTTGCATAGATCTGCTCCATTAGAGCGCCCTCCACATCAGCCCTTGCAAAGAGCGCCATGCACTTTCCGCACTTGATCCCTTTCTGCATCCCCATACTCTGGCTATTCTGCACTAATCCATTGAAAAATACTTCAATTTCACTTTTTATTCTAGCCAGTGTCTCCACCGAAGAGTGCACAGAGGCTGTCGCAGAACAAACACACTCCAGGCTGAGAGTAGTGAAGGACCCGAACTCTCTAGATATTTCGCTGGAGAAAGGGCTTATCTGCACAATTGACGCAGCTTTTCTTGTAAAGTTGGGAGCTCTTCCTTTCAAGCTGTTTGCTTTAATAAGCACTCTAGCCAGTGTCAATCCGTTCTGTGTGCTGTTCATATATGTATCTTTGAGATACTCCAGCGCAGGAAGATCATCACCCTGCAGAAGAGATGTGATGATTTCACTAGGCACAGGGAACATAAAAAGAGACTGAACCTTTCCGCATACAAGACTCTTGTGGTAATTAGCCTGATCGATCATCAGTATTCTGTTGTACCATATTCCTGTTCTCATTCTTATAAGAGAGCCATACGATAGGCCTGATACTTCCTTAATCACATTGTCAATGTGTACCTCAGCAAGAGCTTTGCTGGGCTGTCTTGTGTGGATGATTGCGTCCTCTCCATCTACGAGTATCACATCACTTCCTGTTCTGTTTATTGCTGCTACAATACCTGATATAAATTTAATCTGCAGCAAAGCAACTCGGCCCTTGATAAATTCAGTTATAGACGTATTCCCATGGGGTGATCTAAGCCAGTGCGGGATGGCATTGGCTATGTTTATGGCTCCTTTCTGGTTCTTTATACATCCGTATACAATGGCTTTAATAAAAGACTGCAATGCCTCCATTTCCACTCCCTGCTTAACCGATGCTCTTTCTTCTTTCATGAGAGTGTCTGCCTCTATTATACTGAGGAGGATAGTTCCCGAGAAAGACACGCCGACTGAAATACCTTCGTACACTCCTTCTTTGTAGAACTGTTTGCTGAATGGATTTTCGTCTTCTGTTGTGAGGGTGTAGTGCATCTGTCTCTCTGTTTTTGAGTTGTTCCATCCTATGATGTTTTTAGCTGTTCTTTCTTTGTAGTGCAAATGGTCGAGAAGCAGAGTATTTCCGTTGGCTATGTTTTCTGCGAGTATCGGCGTATTCGAGTACTCTGCTGTATTGATGAGCACAGCCACACGCTTTGAGGCTTTGTGCAGGGTTGAAAAAAGAAGCGAAGCTGCAACAGATATTCCCTGTATTGTTTTTGATGAAAGAATGGAAAGCGGAGAGAGATAGTGTTTTGTCTTTAGGGAGGCAAGGATGGGTGATTTTGTGTGGAACAATACTCCTGCGTCTTTTTCATCCAAGAATGCCAGAAGGGCTTCTGTGCTTTCAAAAAAGGATACACCTTCTGAATTTTTATCAAAGGTTTTTTCTGAGAACAGACTCATCATGGAAGTATTATGCACCGCGTACAGAGTCTTTCCTTCTGAGGTGCACGCCGTTATAGTATACACAGGCACCTTCTTAAACTGGACCATCTGCAGGGCTCTTATTCCGGACGGGATGTCTAGCTCGTGGATGCTCTTTACCTCTGGGCTTTCGAATAGATCGGTGTAGTTGTGGAACTTGGATGCAAAGGTGTCCGAGTCTACTTCTATTCGTATAAACTCTCTTTCTCCCAGCATACCCACCGCTGTTTTTCTTACTTTTTCTACCTGTATCGATGTCTGCGCTGTGCTGTATGTGTTCAAAATAGCCTCTAGGACCGATTCATCTGCCTGTATGTAAAATACTTTTTTTATCGGTGTAATTTTTTCTGCGAACTCTCCATTCTCTGCTAAATATACAGCTGTGAATGAGCTCTGGCCGATACTTGTAATGCACACGGCTAGATTTTCGTTCTTGCTTTTCTCTTTTCCAGCTGTGTCCGTGCTCTCTTTAGCTTCTTCTTTTATTTTCAGGTTTTTAACTGACAAATAGTCCAACAGCTTCTGTTTCTGTTTTGTTCGAGGCTCTTTTTCCTGTTCTTTCTTACTGCTACTGTTTTTGACTATTCTGTTTTCCTTATCATTCTTATCTATTTCGCTGCCAATAGTGTTCTCTATGCTACTTTCAATCGCATCGTTGCCATTCTTTTGATCAAGGCCTGTTCCATGCGCTATCTCTGCGGGCTGTTTCTTTTTCAGGAATCCAAGTATCTTTTTGTGTCCTGTGGCCCACTCTGGCGCCTGCACTCTTCTCACCGGATTTGCAAGACCCTGCAGAGCTGCTGGCACAATGATTATTCGAGCAATGATGTTCGACAGCCTCTCCAAATAGTACTCCCAGTCGATTATGTCCCTGATGTCATCGGGAACTACTTTCATTCGCATCCATTTCTGCAGATATTTGTCTCTACTTTCTTTTTCTGCCTGGAACACCGACTGCGGTATGGCACGCGACGTAACAGGCTCATTCTCTGGGTACTTAGACACAATGAAAGAGCAGCACATGCCCTTTACCACGACATTCTGTCCTAGCAGCTCAGAGAGTCTCTCAGCTGCCGTAAGACACGTTGACTTTGCAACTGAATACTCTTCTGCACTTTTGGACATATTTCGTGTCTCTCCAAAGTAGTTGAAGATTTCATCCTGTGCCAGCGCCTCTGCTTTTGTTTCTATTATATCAAGCCAGTAGTCTGCACACTCTGCCAATGCCTCATAGCACTCGCTTAGCGTGCTTCCTGCCAGCATGGAATTGAACATTTCCTCCTGAAATGATTTTATGAACTTCAGCTCTCCCCTTCTTTTGAACTCGAACCCCTTGAGCTCTGATATTTTGTTTTTGCTGTTTATAACAATGTATCTTTTTTTAATGGACTCTCCTTCTTTTGTTGACCCAGGGAGGAACATTGCCCGATATGGCCCGTCTATTTCAAACTGTATGGAGTTTTCAGTTCGAACATCGTATCCTCCTTTTTCGTTTTTTTCTTGGTACTGGTTGTTGCTGAATGCATCTAGCAGCATGCAGTTCAGGAGCGCGCATATATATGAAAAACTAATCGAACCTGATTCTGTTTTGAGCGTGTAGTTCAGTGGAAACTGTTCGGGAAGTAAGACCCATATTCCATCTGTATCGAGCTCTAGTGTTATTCCAAACGCATCAATCACAGCCTTTGTTCTTTGGATGATGTGACTCCCTGTTTGGCACACAACTGCCGCCATTTCCATGGAGTGCCAACGCGCTCCTTTTTTCATGACGTATCCGTAGAAGGAGTTTAGCACACACTTGTGGGCTATCTGCAGAGAGTCGTATATTGCTGCTTTCTTATTCAGATCGACTCTTTCTGCTTCCTGGGCCTGCTGTGCTGTGCTCCTTGCTTTCTTGGCCAGCGCCTTATACTCGTTTCTTCTGTCTCTGAACTTTCGCACTGCATTGACGTAGAAAGGATTCTCTCTCTGGCATATCATGCTTTGTTTGTCCTCTATCACCACCTCTCTTGTTCTTCTGCTTGTTTTCTTGGCGTACTCTATCAGTGCATCCCTGAGCTTGTGCTCGTATGATACAAATCCCTCCTTCTTTTTTCTGTTTTCACTGTCATTTTCAAAATCTTTTGTTTTGTTTTTTTTGAAATACTCCTGTGCTGTCTTCTGCTGCAGCGATGCAACTGTTTTTTCGTCAATCGGGTAGACCTCTGCCCGGCCCTTCCAGTGGAGCTTTCTTTGGCACGTATTCCTCTCTGAAAAATAGCTGCACTTTCCGCACCTTCTGTCGTCTGTAATCGCAGATGGCTGCAGTCTATTCGTGAGAATAATATTCGGATACATAGCCCCCACGTCCAAGTGGTAGATTTGGGGCTTGAAGGATCCTTTCTCCATTCCCGCCAGTGCCCTCAGTTTCTCTTGAATCTCCTGCACCACTGCTTCCTTGTTCTCGCATATCTCTCCATCTATGAGTGAATTTACAACGTGTTCTGTGTCTCTTATCATATTTTCAATGTATGGTCCATTAAATGAAAACTCGTACTCAAAATCCGAGCGAAATATGCCCGACTTCAAGCACTCTACGTGCCCGCCCACATAAGAAAGCGACTCTGCCATTCTTCCGTTATAGTTGTACAGCAGCTGGGTTCTTTTCTTGGCAGGAATTAGCACATCGCAGCTGTACGCCTCTTTGATCAGAAGAGTTTCGCAGAGCGTACCCGATCCTTTTCTGAGCACATCGTCAGGAGGCATGGGAATGAGCGAAGCCAGGGAAAAGATGAAAGGATGCACATACTTGATGTACAGAAAGTGTGTAGCAATCGCATCAGACACGGAATACGATGCCAGCAGTTTTGGTTTTGTATCTGCAAACCTAACCATGTTTTCAGGGTCTATTTCATCGGGAAAGTATCCCAGTTTTGCTCTTGTAACGCTCTTCAAGCCTTGGCTGCCTGCCGGCAAATAGCTGTCTCTTTTCACCCATTTGTAGCAGTCCAGATGGAGAATGCAGTCTGACACGTACTCGTCTCTGGCATTATTTGCAAAGCCAAGAGACGTATGCAGATTCATTCCATGCACCTTCATCCTTGCATCTACAAAGGGCCAGTCGAAGTAGTCTCCATTGTACGTTGTAACTACGTGCGGCTTGAATACGTGGATTATCTCCATAAATCTGCTCAGAAGATGCTCTTCATTTTTTTCGTTGTGGATGTCAAAGTCTCCTCCTATGTCTTCTGTTGGCCTGAACTCGAAGGGCTGGATGTCTTCGCTGACTATCTCTCTGTTCACTATCAGCCAGCCGCCAATTGAGCTCATAATCGATATCATCATGATTTTGTCTTTTTCTGCTGTTGGGAACTTCAAGGGGTCTTTTGTGGTCTCTATGTCAAACGAAAATATTCTCAAGTCGGGGGGTATCACTCTCTCTGATCCTGCGACCGTGTACTCTCCTCCTTTGTAGTTTACTGTGTACCACTTCCCTGCATTGATATCCAGCTCAACTGGCATCTGCACAACAGGCGGGATGTCGTACTCGTATATGTTGAGTATAGCCTCATCTGGAGACACTTCGGTGCAGTATTTCTTGTCCTTTACAAAAAGAAAGGTCGCTGCTTTCTCTTTCTTTTTTATTTTGTTCTTCTTCACTGTTTCTTCAAGCTCTTTTCTTATCTGCTGGACGTCCTGCTCTGAGTGCATGTTTAGGGATAGATACACGGAGGCGTCTGTTGTCAGGTGGTCGTCTTTTTGCAGATCAAGCCTCTTCACAGTGTGTGTTGATTTTATTGCGCTTTGGTACTTGCTCTGCAGATACTCTTCAACGCCTGTTATCGCTGTCTCTGAAACCTCTAGCAGTATTTTAGGAGAAAACGGCATTTCAATGCGAAAGTTTTTGTTTTCTGTGTCCACAAAGTACAGAATGCTGTACGCTGTAAGTTTGCTGGTTTCTGGGCAGACCTTGTCTCTTATCTGGTAGTTCAAAAGCCAGCCTTCCTTTGGGGCTGCACCGCTGTAAATGTCGTACTCAAAATATTCTGCTAGAATACTTGTGTCCCATGTGCTTTCCATGTAATAAAAAAATTGCTAATACTTTTAAATAATTAGGAGGCTGCGAGGTGTATATAAACACTCACTTGTGCTCAAGAGACAGGCTCTATACTTATTCGCAGTGCGTTAATGGCATAGGATGTTCGATAGCTACTGGCCGCAAAGATGGATAGCAGTGTTTTAGAATGCAGAAGATTAAATAAAAATGTATATTAATTTTACTACTTTCTTTCTTGGCAGAGGACAGTAATTTCATTCCAAGCCTAATTATAAATTAGCTAAAAGGCTTTACTTTGCTGTTCGCAGAAGTATTGTGCTCAAAAAGATCAAATAAAGAGTATAGACGGGAAGGAATAGTAGTAAGCCAAAAGTGTACTTTTATTTTAAAAGGACCATTTGGGTTTAAGCTTTGCAGCTTCTTCAATCTGTGGGATGCGAGATGGGCTTCTAAGCTTGTGCTGGGCAAATATCCACACTTCTATCTGTTTAGTGCATTTCTAGTTCAGCGACAAATAGTTTGGATGGCTTCTGATCTTTTTAATGATTTCTGGATCGGTAATTGTTTTTTCAATCTGCTGCAGCACCGGGAAGTATGCTGGGATTGTTATTGTCTTTCCTGGCTCGCTTTTAAAAAGACAGATGACTGATTTTTCTGTCAGTATGCAGTTTGTTGTTCCTTTGATGTAGCTTCCAATGGGCACCGAGCCAAAGTCTGTTGATTCTACACTTTTTTTAACTCTTGTCTGCGCCTCGTCTGCAATTCGGTACACCACAAAGCTGCCCTTTTTTTCTCTAAGGCATATAAAAGCAGCGCCTAAGCACACAAAAGACATTATTAGAAGAATTAAGATGATAATGCATGCTAATTTCGCGCTGCTCATGGTCTGATCATAGTTTTTCTTGAAGTCCCTTTCTATTTTTTCTATTTTTCTCTTTCTGTTTTTTTCATCCGGGCATAGCAGCGGGTACTTAGACTTTATTCTGTCTGGGTCATTGATCATTTTGTCTTTTGTTTGTCTTAGGTGGAGCAAAGAGAAAATAAGCCCTACAATTAGGCATCCTGTAATTGTCACTAGAATAAGAAAGTACACGTTTCCAAAAAGAGCAAGTACTTCTGAAATTAGTGTTTTTTCTGGCGCGTAAGATTCTACTGTTCTTTCTAAAACCATTTTGGAAATAAAAAAATTTTTAGTAACGGAATTTATTTGTACCTGACTGCTGCAAGAGGCTAAGTTATTCTCGTGTGCGAGTCTGCTGAAAACACGCTGTTTCTACAAATCTTAGTGAATATATGCTAAATAGCATATGAGCCAACGTTGCAAATAACACACCACAGATATAAGCTATGTCTTATCACCCATCAGTGGTAAATGATTCTATGACAGCGCAGTGCCTTAATCACATCGCTACTGAGCAGATTGGAGCACTTTTGCAATCATTCTGCAGGTTAAATCCCTCTGTGCTGGACTCCAATGCAATTTTGGATTCATATGCTGCTTTAAATGGGTGTGCTTAAGAAAAAGAAACAAGTCAACTTTCCAAAAGTGTAGGACATAAATAATTTTATTTTAAATAAAGTTTAGCTGTAGTGTTCAAAACAGTGCACTATACATATTTTAGAAGTACTTCGTAGCTAGAAGGAGAAATCTTATGGAGCATAATGAGCCCTGCCATGACAGATACAGCTAGCATAGCCAATACCCAGAACGCAGGGAGAAAATCAAAGTTTTCAATGGGCTCATATTTCATGTTTAGCAGATAGTTGGTAAGTTTAAACTGTCTAGCCCAATGTTCTTCTATGGTTTTTTTTCTTTCATTCAGCACCCGTTTTCTATTTGCTTGGTAGCGACTCTCTCTTTCAATTTCATGCAGTCGCACTTTTCTTCTATTTTCCAACTTGGGCGTGCTGTATAGCGTCTCGTCTATATCGTTCAGTATATCCATTTTGAGCGTGTATAGCTCAAGCAATCTTTTTTCAATCATTTTTAGATCAGACCTGTTGTAATACATTTCTCTTCCGTATATATTGGCGTTCATGGCGTGTTTGTTGATCCATGTGAACAGCAATTTGAGAATCATCGAGTGGAACACCAAGCTTACAAAAACAACAGCCTGCAAAAACACCATCCACAGTATGCTATCTTCCATTTTCCATACCCAGTAGCGGTTCAAACAGAGCAAAAAAGTACACATTATCGAAAGAAGGTACATGGCGCCGCACAGCCGCTCAGTATACACAACCATTTGTGCTATTCTGTGGATAATGAAGCCGAAATACACAACCAGCAAAAGATAAAAAGAAAGAGACCAAATGGACAGCAGAAAGAATGCCACCACAACCATAACAGCATACACATACATGGAGAATTCTGAAATTTCATCGTCTAGCTTGTACCTTGCTCCTATGCACCCCATTGTTATCAAAAAGAAAAAAAGGTTGCACTGCACCGGGGCAAAGATTGCAAGCAAAAACAAAAGAAAAGGCGCATACGCCACAAAATTGATTATAAATGTTTTTTTATCATTTATAAAGACGCCTATTTTCTTTGGAATGTCGCGAATATAATAATACACTCTTGCTGAGACTATGGCGAAGACCACTTCTTTTTTTACGTCATAATCGTACTTCTCGTATTCAGTGACCACAGATAAGGGGGTTTGGCTGTTTGGGATAAACGGCTCTTCTGGCTGAGGACTGGGCGGAGGCGAAGACGAAAACTGAGGGCGTATGCCAAGGTAATCAGTCGCTTCGTTTATCTGCGACACTAGAAATTCTTCTTGCGAACGCCTATAGAGTTCCTTAACATCTGCGCAGAATTTTGTGAACTTTTCCATCACAATTAAAAATAAAATTTTTAGACTGTAATATACCCTGTGCTTCCAAGATATAGTATTTAATTTAAATTACACCCTCAGATGAGCAAGCAGAGAAAGTAGAAGAAAATCTGTTGGTTTATAGCATCAGGCACAATGGAACAAAAATAAAAATGGAAAACAGGAATGAAGTAGGTTAGTGGAAGAAGAGTTAAAGAAGAGCTAGGAAGCCAAAGGAGGGATTTATGAGAGTGTGCTGCTTATATATATATATGTATGGGCTATGTTCTGCCATATTAAAGATAAAAATCAGATGGATCATTTAGGAAGTGCAAAAATCAGGATAAAAAAGTGATCTTTGCTTTCATTATATATACACTTTTTCGGATTATAGATACTTCAAAGCTAGAATGGAAAGCGAAGTATTAAACTATAGAAAAGAGGCACTCGAAATAGTAGAGAGATACATCAATCTGTTTAAAGGTGGAGGGAGGCTTGAGAAGCTTCTTCTTGTGGCTTGTTTTGTTTCGCTGCTATTTACAACTTACTCAGTATTAATTTATCTCTTTCGCCTAATGTGCGCAAAACCAAAAGGTTATAAAAAAATATACAAAAAGCTGCCAAAGGAGGAGCTGGTCTCCTACATTACCTACTATAATAGCTCTGACAAAAAAGGAGCTAAAAGCCATTCATAGCACATCAAGTGTATCTGCCATCTATACAAGTTGTAAGGCTCAAAACAACAAAGCATATCCCCTCTTAGTATTTAAATAGTTAATTTTAGTATAGCTGCTGGATTTTCTAGTACTGTAGATCTATTTGCAGATTGAATACCATTGCTTTGGCTACTCTATACCTGTTGCAGTATTCAAATGGCCTATTTAAGGAGTCTGCAACTCAATAAACCCCGGATATTCTTTACAATTTTACCAGAAAAACATCCAATACTTTTTAAAATTCCTAAAATGAATAGTAATGAAAATCAACAGCCCCTGTCGAAAATGGAAATAGTTAAATATGGAAAAAATATTTTATTTTTTTATGATCCTAAAGAGAACACTGAAGCAGGTAATAATAGGGGCTGCTGCCCTGGGATGTTTACAAAAGGCCCATGGACTACTATACAAGGATGACGTGCAGAACATAGCAAGCTATTGGTCAGATAGAATATCCCACTTTGACAAAGAGATTACCCTACGAAATGAATTCTCTACAAAGTTCAGAGCTCTTAGCTCTAAAGAGGCATTTAACATGGACGCATCTATGGAGCGTCACATAGAGACAGAAAAGACAAGTATGGATGCTATAATGGAAGAGTTTGAATCTTTTAAAGAAGAAGCCAACAATCTTATAGACATAACAAAATCGCTAGACTCATACAACCGGAGTAATGATGATTTTTTTGATACTGAGAAAAATAAAGAAGTCACACTTGTCATGCTTGATAATTTAGATGCACTGAAGAGGCTAGTTGTCCCAGCTCTTAATAAAAACACTTCATTAACCGAGAAAATAAACAAGTACGATTCATATATGGTAAAAGTAATAGAAAAATGTGCTGAAGAGGAGGACACAAATAATACGCTGCAAAACAAAACACTATTTAAACTGGCAAAGAACAATAAGATTGTAGCTGCAGATGTAATCTATATGCTCTACCTGTTGGATCTATCTAAGCTGCAGGGCAGTGCTCTAGACAATGAGCTAATAGAATCGGTCTATGCAAAAATAATATCGCATGGTATTTCAAGAAGTAATGTAGAACTTTTCATAGCTGCTATTAAAAGGGATGTAACGGAAGGAAACATCAACGTGTTTGTGTCAGGAGACATGCACTTTCATCTACTCTTTGGGGTATACAGTTCTGTGAACACTTCTAAATCCTCTCTGGTGGATGAGAAGACAATGGATATATATCTTAGCTTACTCAAAGAAAATATTTCAGAAGAAGAAGTAAAAGAGCACAAAGAAATAGCACCTGTGCAGGTTATGAAAGTGATAGTCGTAGAGTATCTGATAGGCGGGCATCTTATGGACCACAAAAGCAACACCCTATTCCGCAATCTAGGAAAGATTGTAGAGAATGTGTTCAATCCAGCCAACTACAATAGCACTGATATCCATGAAGGCTTAAGAATGGGAAGAGAAAAACAGGATGAAATACTTGATATTCTATCTTATATATGGTGTGTATACGATGAGGATAGATGTGTAAGCCAGCAAGCTTACGACTTATACAAAGAAATAGGCATTGGATACTCTGAATTTAAAGAAATAAAAACTAGTTTTGCATCTACTAAATGGATGTACCAGGGAGTTGCAGCTCCACTGGCTGGCTCAGACGAACAATGCCCAAACATCTCGGCAGTACAGTTTGACATCTCATACACAAATCCTCTGTGGTATGTGTGCAGGCGCTGCAAGCACATCAAACGCCCAGATAACAATAAGAATATTAATTTCAAGCTAATTGATGAATACGAAAATGGACAAATTTCATTTTATTCATATAAAATATATGACACCGAGAACGAATTAATATGGGCAAAGTATATGGAAGGCTGCATTAAAGCATGTTCTTCAAGTATTCTGATAACCTCCAAACCAGATGAAGATGAAAGCAAGGTATACTTTAACATACTTAGTGGCTTTTATAAGTATTTGAAAATATAATAATGATTCAAGGAAAAGAAAAGCTACTAAAGCTCAAACCCAATGATGATGAAGTATGCAAGCAATCTTCGTTAAAATGGGGTTTTTAGTTATTGATTAAAGTTTATTAATTAAAACAGTATTTCACTTTTTAACCAACATTTTATTATCTAGTTTTTAGTTTTATTGGCCTTGCACCTGCTCCTACTAAATAAATATTTTAACTAAAGTCTAAAAAGCATCTGTGATGAAAGACAAAAGAGCGCCCATTGAAATAACATTTGACATCCAGGGAATAAATAAAAATCTCAAAAAAAGAAAAGAAGCATGCTCAAATGTAGACCTGTATAACATGGACAGTATAGTCGTATACTCTATACTAGACAACAACATACACCTAGAGGCAAATGGACTAACAGAAAAAGAAAGAGAAAGCCTTCTGGAAATTGCTAAAAGAGTGGTTTATATACACTTAATAGAAAGCGAAAGAGCAGAAGCAGCTATACTGTACAACAGTCTGCTAAGGAATGAAACAGAGGAGCTAGATGAAAGTGACGTGGTGGAACTTACTAAATATGGTGTAGAAACAAGGAGTAGAAGGTACGTAAACACATTGAGAAGCGAGATAGCTATTTTTATGAACTATTTCAACTGGTGTGTCTCCAATATTGTAGATGTAAAAAAAGAAGACTTTCTTGAATTTGCCAAAGAGTTCTTCAGACAGGAGACATACTCTGATGTTCTAAATGACAGCAAGATTCAGGCGAGCATCAGCCGAATAGTCAATAATAAAGACGGCTGTGTGAACAGCAATGACAACATGTACAGCTTACACGAACTGTACAAAAATTGCAAAAAAGACATTCTACTAGTGGACTATGCAATGATGTATGCGTTCAATGAAAAAGACAAGTTGGATGAACTGCGCCAAAAAGTACAAGATACTTTCTGCACAGGCAACAGCACAGAAATAAACAGGAAGATAGTCACAGACGAAGATATCTCACCAGACGACATGAAGGCTATTAAGTCATTGAACAGATTCAAAAACAGCATATACTCGGAAAAGATGTTTTTATCTAGCCTAATCTATTTCCCAGACGAGTGTTTTAATCACATAGTAAGAACAGCAAGCGCCTCTATGCAGCCACACGCTATTCCAGATCTCACAACACAGTATTCAGGATCAGAAGTGTTCAAAGCCACAGTTGATGTTCACCTCTTGTATGCAATATTCAAAGGAGAGAACAGAAAAGTAAGAGAGAAGCTGTTTAAAGCCATCAATTTTCACAATGAGAAAATTAGAAGTATAGAAAACAGCATAGAAGAGCACAAAAAGATAAGAGAAGATATAGATGAGAAGATAGAGAAATTAAACGATGATTTGGAAAAAGAAGAGACTAATAAAAGTAATGCTGTGAATCAAGAAGACACTAATGAAGATACATGTGATGGAGATAGATCAGTCATAAAACACAGCATACGTAAACTGTTCTTTGAAAAGAACCTTATTCGAGAATACATACATAAAAAATTAAAGGAGATATCGAGATATAGCGAGTCTAAACATGCCTTTGAAATGAGCTTGCTTGCCATTGATGAGTATTTGCCAAACCTAGCAGGAGTGCAGGTAGAGTACATACAGAAAACCGTAATAAAATATTCAAAGATACTTGGAGTAGACTTGCAATCGGTCTTAAAAGAGTATGAAACAGAGCACTATCAGCCAAACAGACTGTCTAGCCCAGAAATCATCAGAGAATCAAAAATCAGCCCAACAGCTATCCCAGAGACAGAGAGTAACAAAGCAGAGGAAACAAATCTGTTAGCATCTCCTCAGACAGATGTAAGCACGAGATCACTCCTTATCAACAGAATAGTAGGATATAACAGACCCATGGTTATTATACTGGTTGTTGTGCTGGCTGTTTTTACTATTCAGTCTGTGCGAACTAGCAACTATCTTTTAATAGATGTTTAGCACTTTTTTATTTATGCGAACCAGTCAATAAATCTTATACACTTTAGTAAATTTGTCTATAAAAACTTCTCTTCAGAAATAGAAAAGCAAAAAAAGCATATCCCTCTAAGAAAAGAAGAACAGCTTGAGAATAAATACTTAAAAAATAAAAATAATTTAGCAGCAATGATATTGGAAAAGAAGGAGCCAGCCAACAGTGAAACCACCTTTTTTCCCATAATACTAGACAAACTACTGGCTATAAATAGCTTCTTCCTTATATGGATTATAACAGCGTATGTAAGATGGAAGTTCTATTTTTCATTCTTAGATGCTGTGTAGTTTCATTAAATCATTGTACATAACCACAGTGTGAGGATATAAACTGCTTATATCAACATAAAACACTACAAAATACTTACAAAACAAGAAAAACCTAAGAAAAATCTAGAAGACTCTCCCTATTAAGCGTTACTTAAGAAGTGGCTCAAAATACCTCTAATCTCCCTGTAGATGATTCTGCAGACAGTAAAGATGAAGAAATAAAGTATTTATATATCTGTATTCTTGCAAACTTTATCTCAGCGCATAGATTGGTCTCAACAGAAATAATAAGATACAAGCATGATAGTAGGAACATTCTGTGTTCTATTTTCTTTTTATTTGTGCAAATAATTTGAATAGCCAGAGATTTTAGCTTCTCTTTACTGCTGAAGGTAGTGAGACTTTAATTAGAGAAGAAAACACTACATAAAAAGAAATACAGAGACACTCCATTTTTGAGCATTGTATTTGTGATTGAAGAATTAATATCAAAAAATAAACAAATCACAGAACAATTTTGCTGCAGCTATTTCACTCCCATGAGAGCCTCCAAATATTTTAATTTTTTCTCTTAAATTTCTATCTTATGCTTGTCAGCTCCTCTGAAGATTACGAGACAAGCAGTTCCACAGTGGACTGGATTGATAGATTTGTTCAAAGCTTCACAGATGCCTTTTTGGTTAGAGTAGACCAGGCATTTGTCGACGATCCTTTCAACCTGTTTGGGCTCTCAGAGAGCGTCAAAGGATACGAAAAACTCATTAGAATACTTAGAGGAGAAGAGCTCTCTTCCGCCCACGAAAACATTGCTAGTCTGTACTACATGATACACCAGAGGTACATCATATCAAAGAAAGGCCTTGAGGCCATGCACAGCACCATTTGCACAGGCGTCTACGGAAAGTGCAAAAGAGTATTCTGCAGCGGATTCCCATTAATTCCCTTTGGAGTGAGCGAAAAGCCAAACAGATCAACCACCAAGCTGTACTGCAACCAGTGCAAACAGCTATACGAGCCAACAAACGAGCTGTCAAAAATTGATGGATGTGCATTTGGTCCAACTTTCCCGCATCTATTCATTCTTATGTATGGAAACATATTTCCTAAGAGAAGAGAAGATATAACATATACTCCTAAAATCTTTGGGTTTAGAGTTGAAAGCACAAAGGATGAATAGTTTAGAAGTATTTAGTAGTGTACTTAAATAAATCATAGAAGAAAGAGTGTAGTGTATTTTTGTAGATAAAGAATGAACAGAGCATGAGTGGAATGGACAGCTGATTGCTAAATAGCGGTCTACACAGTTCTATCATTAGATTGCTATTCTTCAATACTTAAATGCTGAGTCACTGTCCATTGACTATATCCGTTTCTGCTCTTTACATTATACCGTAATGTAAGTGGTTGCTGCATTCAAGACAACGCTCTTGCGGCTGGAGTAATATTGCGGCCATCTTACACTTTCTATTTTCTATCTAAATTTGCCATGCATAGTATACTTTGTGTCCTATGCTCTGATTAGAACAGATGAGACTGTAGATATGACACTGGATGGTTTTTAAAATTTGATGATTTTTTACTGGATGAATGGTAAAAAGTATTATTTTTTTATTTGAGCAATGCTATTCTCAATTGACACTCTCAAAGCATATGCGCAGTCAAAAGGTCTCCCAGAGATAGAAGATGAAGACATGAAAATACTTGCACAGGATCTAGAGTACAGACTGAAAGAATTGGCGCAAGAGTCATCTAAATTCATGGTAGCATCCAAGCGGTCTAAGCTTTCCATTGAAGATGTAAACTATGCGCTGCTTTCCAAAGAGGTAGACCCTCTCTTGGGCTACAACACAAGCAACTCTCTGATGTTTAAAACCATCCCAGGATCAAATCTCTACTACGTGCCAGACGAAGAGCTGGACTTGGAAACGGTTTTAAACTCTCCTCTTCCCAAAATGCCGCATAAACCCGTGATATCAAAGCACTGGCTGGCCATAGAAGGCGTGCAGCCGCAAATACCGCAGAATCCGCTGCCCATGGAGAGAATGCCTGAAACAAAAAAAGAAGACACATTGGCAGCGATGAAAGAAGATGTAGAGATAAGAAACCACATGAAGCATCTTCTGTCAAAAGAGCTGCAGCTCTACTACGAGAAGATAGTCCAGTTCATTAAAGACAAAGAAACAGTGAGCATGGCATCAGAGTGTCTGAAGAACGAAAGCGGAATACAGCAGCTGATTCCATACTTTGTCCATTTTTTCAACGAAGAAATACTGAAGAACCTCAGAAACGGCGAGTATTTAATAGACATAATAACAGTGTACGAGAGCCTGATAATGAACAAAATGATATTCATAGAGCCGTACATGCACCAGATGCTCCCGTCTCTTCTCACCTGTATAGTGGGGAAGAGCATAGGAATGGACTCCCGAAACAAAGAAGAAACGAAAAAAAACGAAATTACAAATAAGCCGGGAATAGTGGCTAGACAGAGGGCGTCAGCAACTATTAAGTATATATACGACACTTACTCGCTTTCTTACACCACGCTTGCCCCAAGAGTCCTGAACACGCTGCTTAAAACGTGGGCAGATACGAGTAAGACACCAGAGTCGCACTATGGAGCAATCTACTGTCTGTGCAACCTCGGAGAGAAGGTGATAAATGGAGTTGTAGTGCAGTTCAAGAAAGAGTACCTGGAGAAGACAGATCCTGAGGCGTATGCTCTCCCTATTAAAGTTCTTCTGCAGTACACCGAGCCATAAATCGTACATACCTCAGTGCATTGGAGTGTGAAAAGAATCTAGCTATAACACTGAAAAATTAAATAAATAAAAGATCGAGCAGTTTGTTTCTTTTTGTTCTTAGATTTCAAACATTAAAGTGAGTTGTAGCAGAAACAGATCAATTGGCAGAAGAAAGTTACATATGTACATAACCTGAGAGTAGAGTGTTTATCCTATCTTTATTAAAGGTATAAGAGGGCAGATAAGACTTGAGAAATGGTTACTAGTCTTTTCTGCATTGAGGATGCCATTAATATTCAGCTGGTAGTCAGATAAAAATTTGATCGTTTAATCAAATGTTGTGTAAAGTGAGAAAATGTATCTAGATATCTCTAAGATGTTAAGGTGTTTATTTATTGATATTTCTACTCGTTATTGATATAACTTATCTGGAGCCGTGTGGCTGTGGCTGCGTCTCTTACTTCCCTGACATCCGAGCGTGTTTTTGCAGTTATGAACTCAAACACCCACGGGCTTTCCAGGGCAGTAATCAGCGGCGGAAACTCTCCTGTGCCGTACAGCACCCACAGATCGGATATTAAATAGAGAGACTTAATCACGCACGCTGAATCGTTCGTTTCTATGACGATTATCTTTATTATCTCCAGCATAACTTCCACATGGCCTACAACCTGCTCGCTTTTTCCGTTGGAGGCCTGGACAATGCACGAGAAGAGCACCAGCAGAGACTCGCGAAGCGATAGAATAAAGCCGCTGTCACTTCCATCGTCCTTCAGCTTTATCACGCTCGCTGCAATGTCTATCATGTCTCCCAGGTATTTATCAAAAATTTTTCCAATTGCAAGAGAAATATCAGCGAATGTGGAAATAGCAGTGGCCTTGGCCTCTCGCGGGAGATACGGCGAGCCAACAGCCCGGATCAGCAAAGGAACTATCTGGTTGACCTGCGAGCTAAACCCTAGCTGCACAGCAGATGCCATGGACCCAATGAACATAATGAGACTCGTGGCAAATATCGAAGTTCCTTCCTCCTTTGCATCTTCGCTGCAAAAGCTGTTCAAGTCTCTGACTATTAGCCCGTATAGCTCTTCTGTGTAATTGGCAAAGTCTATACTTATTCGCTCAGCCAGCAGATCAAGAGTGAGGTATGCCTCTGTGTATAGGGATATCAGTTTGCTTCGATCTATTATATATGTACACACACTAACTATACTTCGAGAGGCATGGGATATCTGGTCACTCGAGCACGTGCTTATGCACGCCTGTATCATGTTCATATAGCAAGAGATAGCCTCTTCATTTACATCAGGCATCATGAGCTCATTTGTTGTTCTTGAGATAAACTCAGACAGATAGCCAAGAACGTGCGAGTAGTACGTGGGAATAGCGGCCTTGATTATTTCGCCAATAGCTGAGGAGAGAGCCACCCGCAGTGTGTACTCTTCATTTGGAAGATTGTAGAATGTTCCCACAAGAGACTCAAGGATCATCGTAAAGTTGGTGAATATTGCGTGGTCTTGTCTGGCTGCGTCGTACATGCTCTGCTGTCTCACAGCACTCGCTATGCCCATGAGAGTCCATGCAGCAGTCACCGAAGTTTCTCCATTTTTTTTTGTGATTAGCTTCATTATTTCTCTGATTATGTCGTCCTCCAAATGGCACTGCTCAACGGAGACATACGAGTATTTGAAAAGTTTTTCAAATAGCCACATTTTACTGTCTTCTACCACGGGGTTGCCGTGTGTTGATGCTTTGTATATCACAGGAACAATGCGCTGTATTAGCTTGCTTAGGGCATTCGCTGTGTCTTCGTTGAGAATAGACCCCAGGACAATCATTCCTGCCTCAAATCTCACTACATCCTGCGAGTTGATGAAGTTTTCTACTGCTGTGATGAGGTTAACAGGAGTGCTAGAGAGTCTATTGACTATGTCCTGCGATATTTTGTCAGGGACACACTGCGAGACCAGAGAAAGAAGAGAAGATGCTGCCTTGTGGGGCAGCCATTCGTCTGTCTGCTCGAGCTCTAGATTTCTAGCTAGAATAATGCACTGCCCCACAAGGGTGCTGAAGACTTTGCTGATTATTTCGCTTTTCCCCGTTTCTATCTCGTGCTCTGCAACAGCTCCCCACATCTCCATGGCGCTGAGGATCTTTGTGTCGCTTTCTGAATACATGTAGTTCATTGCAATGTTTCCAAACGCCAATCCAACATACTTTACAACGCTCTCGTAGTACATGTACAAAGTGCCTGTGTAGCACCGCATGGCTAGACATGCTATCTCATCGCTGCTCGATGCGCACGCGTTGAAGAGAGTTTCCATCACGACCATGCACTCGCTTTCTATTGCTATGTTGTGCGAGATAAACTCCAGACACCGATCTAAATTTTTAAAAGCGCTCTTTTGGGTCGATACGTTATCTGATCTTCCTCCGTTTATCAGCACAGTAAGGATGTGTCCTGATGAGTGCATTATTATCGTGTCATCCATCCCCGTTGTGTCCATGCACAGTATTCCCATGGTCTCCATTACGTTTATTCGAGTTACATCAGAAGACGCAGCTCCAGCTATTTCAGAGAGATCGGAAAAAACGGTGGGCCATCGCTTATTTACCACCTCTATTCTCGCCACTGCCCCAAGACACTGTCCGAGTATCTCTCCCACCGACCCAGAGCAGGTGGCTAAACTCGCAATAAGCTTGCTTTTGAGGAGGTCTCTGTCTGCAGGCTTCAGAGCCATCCACTTCAGATTGACTTCCTGCATCTTCTCCTGGGACTCCCACGCAAAGAGCGTTTTGAGAACGAGGCCCGCAGTCATCGTGTTCCCCATACTTCCCAAAGTGGAAAGTGTCAATATGTCCAGCAAAATGCTAATTAAATTTGCGAAGTTTGTGATGGACTCTTGAATGATGTAGTTCTCCGCTTCTTTCCTTTTCTGGTTATCCAGGCCTTGCAGGCTGTTCAGTGAGCTAAGTACTTTTTGCTGCATGAAAAATAAAAAAAACAAGTGGGCATATAACTTTTATTTATGTTTAATCCGTGCTATTGGTGTTATTGCTATCTTGACTGCCTGATTCAAAGTCGTTATCGTCGTCGTCTGTTTCCTCTTTGCTTCCGTAGTTGTCAGAGCCTGATTGCTCGTTGATATCGTCAAAAGTTGAGTCGTTGTCTCCCAGAGAGCTGGAGTTTTCATCGTCATCCTCAAGAGTATTTTCTGTTAGAGTGGAGGACGGAGCTGCGTCGTCTGAGGAGTCTGTAAAATCATCGTCCTCGTCTACGTACGAGACAGGGTCGCTTGTGTAATCCTCGGAGAGGCTGTCGCTTGCTTCTTCGCTCTTTCTTTTTATTGGCTTAGCGCTTGAGTTTCCTTTGGGCTGGTTGGACATGGCAAGAATTTAAAATATTTTCATTTATAGCGCATGGGCTGACATTCTATCTTTGCAGAAAAAACGAGCAGAAGGGAGGACTGCTGTGTTTATGCGCTGGACTGGAGATATTTAGCATCTCTGAAGATTTTAAAGCGATAAAGAAGGAGATGCTGGCTGTAATTTTTATTTTTAACAATTTATGTGATTAATCTATCTTAAAAACACGCTTTTAAGCATTCTCACAGGCGATGCAACTATTGATGTTATTTTTGATGTGGTCCAGAGGAAGAGCGCAGCTATTTCCAGGAACAGCCCGAGGCTTGTCATTTTGAAAGAAATAAGAAAGCCGAAGAAGAAGAGAAGAATGCTGCGGAAGTGCTCAAGGGACTTGATCGACAGCACAACAGCAATGAACAGCACAATGTTTCCTGCTCTGATCAGATAGGTATCAAATAGCAGGAATCCCAAAAGAATGAAAAAAAGACCAGACGATGCAAACGCATACTTAGGCTTCATTACTTCATTAAGCGTAAACTTCTGGTAAACCATAAAATATTTTTGAAACTTTTTAATTTGTAGCCACACGCCATTCTGCAATAAAACTGCACAGCCACACACACTTTTTACGAGCTGCAAGATGGACAGTATTTAGAGTGTGTTTAGGTTTTAATCCACAAGTTCTGTGCAAATGATAAGATAGCATGTAAGTGCAGGAGAAATGGTAGATCAAGAGGCTTTACACAGAGAATGTTCTGTAGGATGCACTAAGTATATGCGTATTGTAAATAAATATTTAACCGTTAGAACATCCTCTTTTGAATATACCCTTTGATTATGCTGCGAGCTGTGCTAAAGAGAAAACAAGACAGTTATTCATCAAAATATTCTTATACGGAAAGAAATTAATCAGTGATAATCTGCACATCTTGAGAGACTTTTAGTGGTTGCGATGAAAGAAAGAAGAGCTGTAGGAAGTACTAGGTAGAAAGAGTTAGTCAATAAATTGAGTTTATTACGCTTGGTAGAATAGGCGGATAGATTGGCTAGGGGCATAGCTTTGGCGGAACTATGTCTATTGCAATTCCTGCCTTGTCGTTTTCCTCATCCATCTGTCTTACTTTCTCCATCCACTCTGTTTGGTTGTAGCAGGGCTCTGCTTTTTCGCTTACTTGCGCCTGGCTGCCCAAAGACCTTTTGAGTCTTTCTGATACTCCGAAATTCCTTTCACTTGAGTTAAATTCAATAGGGAACGGGTCGGCAGAAAATCTTCCGTTTATGCTTTCATAGTCCTGTAAATTTTCATTAAAAGACATGTGAGAGGGAACAGATGGGTGTGCATAGTGCGCACTCTTATCAACTGGCAGTCTATAGTGTTTTTCTGTTTCTTGCAGCGAATCAGCTGAAAAATCAATGCGCACATCCTCTGGGAGCGATCTTGCTGCTCTTACAGAGCTGGTTTCGCCCTTCTGGTCGTTGAATGAAACATTTTCTAGCTTTTCTGTTGGTGAAGGCGAGAATGTTTCTTTTTTCTCGAATTTGTTAGATAAATCACTGTCTAGATTTCTCTCTGGCAAAGCGTTTTTGAGTACCATCGACTTGTTCTCGAGATGATAGGCCCGAGAAATGAATATAATACCTGTTAGAAGGCATACAAGTCCCAGTGGCATTATAATTTGGTCACAACAATTTTTTATATATGATTGCCAATAAGAACCATTTTTTTTATTTCTTTCTCTTCTAGGAAACGAACGGTCAAATCCTCTGGCGGTCTGTCTGCCTTGGTTTGACTCGATATTAATAGACTCTACTGCATCACTGTTATAATCTGATAAGTCGTCTGAATCATTGCCATTTGGGTAGTATGTCGTGTCGTTGTATACCTGGCCGTTGTTTCTCTGCAACGCACTCCTGGAATTATTGAATCTAACGGTCGTTTCTGTGTTGTACGGAGTATATGCGCACTGGCTTATCGTTACCATCTTGATAATAGGCTTTATGACTATGAATAGCCCTCCAAAAAAAAGTATATAGCCTATATTTTTAAGCAGTTTAGGGTTTTTCATCAGCTCTGAATACATGGGTGAAAATTTTACTAATCTTTTTATTAATACTCGCAAGGGGATATATTTTAGGAAATTTAATGAATTTGCCTGCTTGGCTATATTACAATTGCAATCTCCTATTTAATTTCAGCCATTTTTAGACAATTTTATCCTGTATTTCCCTAAATGTACAGCTTAGTTCGCATTAAACCTTCTACTATTGCACGCGCTCTAGTGATGTGCATATCTAGTAGGTAGATTATCAGCAAAAAGAAAAATGAACTATCCTTGTGCGATGCGGCCGTAAAAGGAAAGTAAACAGATAATAATGATGAAATTAGCAGGATATTAATAATAAAATGTATGCAGGTTCTGACACAATGAAGAAATGATTCATATTGCTCTTATCCTGCACTGTGGTTTACTCTATGAGGGAATAGTCAATCCTAATGCATAAGCACGGACGCTGTCGTCCTCACATATTAAAAATAATATTGCATGGGTACTAAAATAAAAAATATTATACGTGTATGAAATTAATTTTAAGTGTACACGTTCTGTACCTGGTGGCCATTTTGGCAATTGTTGCAAGACACGCAGTCTCTCCAATTCTGCACAGGAGAAAGATAGAAACAGAGATGGAAAGCATAAAACAGAAGTACAACGAGTATGCCAGATATGCTGAAGAGAACACAGCAGAGATAGACGTAAAAACAGTGCGGATGCTCAGAGAGCTGGTTATATACAGCGATGTGCTAGGCTGTGCTGCTGTCAGCGGCTTGCTGGTGGACACAGAGAAAAAGAGCAGAGAGATACACAGGCTGTACGAAAAGCTAAACACAAAAATTAATATGCCGCATGCAATCCCATTGAAATACTCATTAGAGTGCAACTTGGGAATATTGTGCTCCTTGATTCTTCCCGCTGCTTTGGTGGTAATTACCAACTTAAAAGGACTTATCAAAAAGTATCCACTCAGACACTGTTTCACAAAACATATTTATGGAGAAAGAAGAAAAAATGGAAGAAAGCACTAGAGAAATGGAGGATGTAAAGAGAGAAAGTGAAATAAAAATAAAATTGGAAAAGAAAACAGAAGCAGCTGAGAGCGCAGGCGCAGTGAATATGTCCAAAGATCACAAGAAGGCGCTGAGCAACTTCCGAGACCAGGTGAGGTACAAGGACTACAAAGGGCTGATTAAAACTCTGAAGACGCTTGAAGAGATAATAAGAGCCCCGGAGAGGTACCACATAGAAGAGAAGTACAAGAATAGCTACAAAATGGTGCACGAGAACATTCTTCTTCTGAAAAATATTCTCATCAGCGATATCAAATACAGCGTGACAAACGAAAAAGGCCTGGATAAGAGCGCAGTTCTTCTTTCCACCATTCTCGCAGAAAAGTATGTCTCAGATGTGCAGAGATCAATTGTCACGTGGATGTCAAACTGTGTGCAGACAGAGCACATGAAAGACCTCCAGCGGCTTGAAAAGCTCTCGGAGGTTGAGTCAGCGCTAAACCGTCTTTTGATGATAAAAGATAGCATTGGCATAAAAACCGCGCATCTTCCCATCTGGTGGAATATTTCCAAAGTGATTTTGTGCGATCTTTCAGTGATTTTGAAAAACAAGCTGATCCGGGTGATGGACAGAGCAGAGTTCTCCTGCATCGAATACCTAGATGCCCTGAAAAGATGCATGGACTTCGAAACAACCTATCTTTCCTCATTAGGCAGGCGGTCTAACAACTCGCCTAGAGAAGTTTCTGTTCTTAAGCTGTCCGAAACATCGCCCACCCATTTGCGGCTGCTAGACGACATCTCAACCGAGCATCCAATGTGCAGCGAAGAAATAGAGTCGAATAGTTTGACTTTGGCGTTCATTCCGTACATCCACATCTACATAGAAAATGAAATCAAATCTCTTTCTGACAGAGTAATTCTCTTCTCAGGCTGCCAGGTGCACAGCACAACGTACAGTGTTTATACGCTGCTTACGCACACTCTGTCAAAGCTTGTGTACTTCAAATTCCCCAGTGTGGGATATTCTTTTCTCACAATAGTTGACAAAGCTGTCGCAAAAATCATAAAAAAATCAACATTCACCCAGGCAAGCAAAAACCTTCTGTCTGGAATAGAAACTGTATACTACATCCAGAAAATAACAGCAGAGATGCTTGAAAAGCTCCAGAAAACGTTTAACATCGCAGGAATCGACTCACCTGAAACAGAAGACGCGCTGAACGATCTGCTGCACCGAATATACGCATCATACATGCTTGGACTGCGCGATAGACTCGCATTCCTCAACAGAAAAGTTTTGAAGAGCCAAAAACTAGATAAACACTGCACTCCTTTTCTTAACGAGCTAATTTCAGAAGTCGAGTCAATGTCTACACTGTCCTTTACGCGATACGACTATCTGGTTAAAGAATGGCTGGACATGCTTGGCGAGTCTATTTTCCTGGCGCTTGTTGATGTTAAGTTCAATGCAGCGCAGGCTGAGCACATTCTCTACTTCATGAGCGCGCTTGAAGTTCCTCTTAAAAACACAATATTCGTAAAACTTCGTCTGGACATTCAGTACTCGATCTTTGACAAGATAAAAATATTCCTAAAACTTTTCCTGCTCGATCCTTCGCTGCCTGAGCTGTTTATTGAGAACTTCCACATGCTATCGAATGGCCTATTTGCATTCCATCAGGTGCTTAGCAAAATCCCCAAAAGACACCGTAAGACTCTTATAGCTGAGTTCAACAAAACATCAAGCCAGACCATTTAAATCGCGTTGTGCGATAAGGTCTAAAGATAGTACTGTGTAATAGATAAGTAAAATAAAGGAAAAGTGTACTTTTGTTCTTCTGATTTTATTTCTTGGCTATTTTTGAAATAAACTCTCTGGCCTCCATTGCTGCCATGCACCCTGTCCCTGCCTGAGAAATCATCTCTGTGCTGTTGTTCAGTATCTTCCCGCACTTAAAGACGAAATCTTGTGTGTTGCTCGTTTTTTCTATCTTTTTTAGTATCTCTTCCGTTGACACTATCAGTGTTCTTGCCAGTATTTCATCGTTTCCGTATATCCTAGCTGCGCCTTTTTCAATCACGATCTTTCTAATGTTTTCTTCGCTTTTTTCTACATTGAACTTCTCCAATTGTTGTTTTGTCTTGGCGTGGAAGCCTTCGTATGACCCTGTCTTGTACCCGAGATAGTTGTTGACACCGGACACCTCCACTGTCTCTTCAGGGCATGCAATTTGCAGAGTTTTGATGTTTGCCATCCCTGCATAAATAGCTGCGGTCATTGCTGAAATGTTCTTCCCCACTATAACTATATCGTACACTTTCATCCAAAATAAATTAGAAAATTATTGCAGAGTAATTTCATGTTTTCCAGACTTTTTTCCAGAAGGAGTGAGCTAGAATGGACGCTTACTCCGAAGAGATACAGCGACGAAAGAACAGAGCACTATTCAGGCAAAATATTCCTGCCTCAGATCTGTCTGGTTACTCTGATCTCTAAACAAGTCGACACTCCGTATATTTTCAAAATATCAGCACACAACAATATTTCCTACACACACGCCGGCGTGCAAGAGTTCATGGATGCGCCTGATGAAGTAATTTTGCCCAACTGGCTCTACGATCAGCTAGCACTGGATGGAACGCCCGTTGAAGTAAGCTGTGTTTCTCTTCCAAAAGGACAGTTTATCAGACTTCTTCCACAGAGCAAAGACTTCCTGGACATAGAGAACCCAAAGGCGTCATTGGAGGAGTCTCTCAGAAACTACCAGGTTCTCAGTGAAGGCGACACAATTTCTCTATACATACAAAGCGAGTTTAAGCACATACTTTTCACTGTAGCTGAAATACTCCCAAAAGGGCCAGGAATAAGCATAATAGACACAGATTTAGAGGTGGATTTTCTGCCTCCTGTGGACTATATAGAAGATAAATTAGAAGATGGAAGTTCACTCGTAAGAAAGACAGAAGATGGAGGAGTTACAATTGCAGATCCATTTTTTGCAGATAAAGAAGATGGCCTTGGGGTGGTCTTTATACAGAAATAAAAATAAAAAATTATACAAAGAATGAAGAGACAAGTAGGTTCTGTACTGAGTGTTTTGTTGGCCCTAGTGAGTGGTGCAGTGTGCTCAGCTGTTTTTTATCATAGTGCAGAGACTGGTGGAGTAGAAGAAGTAGATCCAGAGAAAAAGACTGGTCTAGCCAAACGGGAAGATAATGGACTGGAATGGATGGAAAATAACCTAAAATATTTGCAAGATAGGCTGTCAGAAAAGACGAAAAAAGCAAGAAGAGATGAGGGCACAGAGAATCTAGCAGATCAAAATGCGAATAATGGGATCTGCAGTGCGAGTAGCACTTCTTTTGAAGGTGTGTACGAGATTTACAACAGAAGATATTCTACATATATACTTTTAATGACAGAGCAATGTGATTTAGATGTAGATATAGTTCGGTTGTTTAACATAGGATATCCCCTGGTGGATAGGCTACTGGACAGTTTGTTTAAGATTGCATTTGACCTGAGAGATGGAGAGAGTATGGCTGAAGTGAAGTATGCTCCTGCAGAAGAGAGAATGGAAAAGTATACCAACTTACTTTCTCCAATACTAGAACATCTTTGGATAAAAAAAGCGGATTTTAAAAAAAGTATACGTCTTTTTATAAATTCAATTACAAAAAAGTTATCAGAAAAAAAGAACCGGAAGAGCACAGAGTATTTAAATTTATTTATAAAGCTAGCAGATAAGTACTTTTATAGGCTGTTTGTGGATGAGTCCGCCAGAGATAGATTTGCAAAGGCAAATAGGCTCCTTCTTAACATATACTACAAAGACATCGTGATAGACGAGATGGATAGTGCTCTGTACAATGCCCTTGATCTGCACATTATCTACACAGAGAACGTAAACTACTTTTTGCACAATGGTGTAGATAGGGTAGTATATGAATCAGTATATCCAAAGCTAAAAGAAAAGTGCAAGTTCATAAAAGAGCCCTCCAAGTCTTTCTTGTTCTCTGAATCCCTATGCAAAATTGTGGAGTACTACCATGAGACTAAAGACCACAGAGATTTAGAGGAGAGCGAAATATCCATCTGCAAGGAGCCATGCAAGGCACTAAACAACCCTGAGAGCTACACTCGAATTGTCCGCACAATGATGCAGCCGGTAGAAAATGACTCTTATGAGAGCGGAGATGTAAAAGAGCAGGAGAGACTGAAAGAGTACTACAGCACAGCAGTCCAAGGAACTCTAGAAGAGTACTACAGCATGGTTCCTTTCTTCTGGAAGATACACCCGCTGATGGACTATCTTTTGACATCCAACGTATTCTTTGGCAATTATATTGAAAAAGAGGGAAAAAAAGCATATGTTGACTTATTTATTGGAACAAAAAACATATCAGTAAATGTTCCCATCACACTCACTAACCTAGCCAAACTGTGCACACGCGATGTAGTGCATATATCCATTTCCAGTGCAGATATCTCCGATAGTGTAAGCGAGATAGTTGAATACCTTAAAAAAAGTGTAGATGTTCGCCTGGCACTCCAGCATACTTCCGATGAGAGCTCGTGCTATTGCTACTCCAGCTCAGAACAGGATGAAATATACCAATCTATCTACAGCAAAGTGCTTGACAGATCGTACACTGGTGCACATTCGATAAAAGTGGAAATATTTGAGTATATTTCCCTGTTCGTCCAAACCATGTCTATTTTTTTCAGCTGGATGTTCTACAACATGCTGCAATACTTTGTGGTTGCCAATGCAATAGTAAGAATATACATTACGCTCAGAAGAAAACACTCCTACCACATAAAAAGGCTGTTCAACCTGTTTTCAATGCTTCTGTGCATACTTGCCATAGTCTACAGCTGCAGCCTGGTTATAGTAACTCTGCATGAAACACAGTTGAACCATCTATTTCCCGTCTTGTACCATATTACACTCTCTGTAGTCACTGTTCTACTACTCTCTTGTTCTATGCTGTTTAATTTGAACAGATATTCGTTTGGAACCAAGGGAAGAATTTCATTTGTAATGAAAATTATTTCATACTCTCTGGCACTGGTCTGTGCTCTTATAACTCCTGTGCTATTTATTCTCGGAGACATAAATACCTACACCATGAATATTTGCAGGAACATGGGAGTGTTTAGCAGTGTACTGTTCTATGCTGGGGCATCGCTGGAGAAAGAAGGATGTGCTATTTCAAGAGGAGAAAGCGTTGATATGCACTACAAAATAAGAGTCATATCAGGGTCTGCTGTTCTAATGGGAATGTTCATCACCTTCTACACGAATAACAGATACATTGGTGTGCACGGCATCAACATAAACACCTCGTAGATAAACTATACAATTTGCTCTTCTAATATTTACAATAATATTCATATATTCATTTTCTACCTACTGCATCATCTACTGTATCACATAGCATTAGATCTGACAGTATGGCTTTTCCAGGACAAGATCTTCCTCTCTTCAGTATTTGTCGGTTATTTTCTATTCGCACATCTGAATAATCCATCCAGCCTATTCAACTCTTGTGATTCATTCAATTTCAGCGCACTATATCTCTTCTTGCTCCACTTCCATCCCGCATTCACACTTTCCTTCTGTGTTGAAGTTGTGGGAGTGCCTTGCCTCTTCTTTCAGTTTTGGTCTAAGGCTTCCCTTCAGCAGTAATAGCTTTTTTTTCAGCGTTTTTTGTTTTCTCTCTTTTCTTTTTTTTGCTCTGTTCATTTTTTCTTCCTCTATGTTCTCGTACTTTTCCTTTGAAACTTTTTCCACGTCCTCCTTTCTGTACAGAAGCATGGGCCTCCATCCTTCATTTTTTGGGTTTATCACTTCCATCTTCTGCATCCTTTTCAGGTCGTCTTTGCTGAGGAGATAGTCGCTTATTGCTGTGGTCTGTGTTATCAGCTCCAAGCCTCCCTTGCAGTTCTTGCAGTAGTTCACTTTGAAAGCCCGTCTGATCGACTGATCTACATCGTTTCCGTGGCAAACATCGCACGAGTATTCGTCATATATTGTAATTAGATCGTTTTTAGAATCATTTTTGTTTACATCCAGAGCTGCATTTTTTTTGCGTATGAACTCGTTCTTGTCTTCCATTCTCTGCGCTCTACTAGTTTTTCTTTTTTTTCGTCCCAGCATGAGTATTAGCATGAATGTTGAGTCTGTTATAATTGTGGGCAGCGGGCCTGCAGCATACTCAGCAGCCATTTACTGCAAAAAGTACAAGCCACTGATACTCGCAGGAGACTACAGCAGCTCAACACAGTACCCAGGCGGGCAGCTGACCACCACCACAGCGGTGGATAACTATCCAGGGTTTCCAGAGGGAATACAGGGCCCAGAGCTCGTCAGTATGTTTGAAGAGCATGCAACTGCGCACGCAAGAAAGGAAAATCTTTGGGTTAGCTCGATCACAAAAGACGAAGACCATTTTATCCTCAGAACAATCGAAGGAAACTTTATCACAAAAGCAGTGATAGTAGCCACAGGATCAGTTGCCAACAAGCTCATTGTGCCAGGTGTTGATAAGCTGTGGCAGAGAGGAATCAGCGCGTGTGCAACATGTGATGGATGGCTCTTCTCAGAGCAGATAGTTATGGTCGTTGGAGGAGGAGACACCGCGATGGAAGAGGTGCAGTATTTGTCGAACATTGCAAAAAAGGTAATATTGGTGCACAGATCAGACAAGTTCAGGGCCAGACCTGACTTACTCAACAAGATCCGAGAAATAGAAAACGTGGAAATAATCGAGTGGGCTGTGCTGGTGGAGGCCAAAGGAGAAACAAAGCTAAGCAGCGTGATCATACAGAATACGCAAAGCAAAGAAACACAGGAAATACCTGTGGAAGGGCTCTTTTTCGCAATAGGCCACACGCCCTCTACAGGTTTTTTGAAGACTCTCCAGGAGGAAACAAAGACAGCAATACTGGCAAGTGATGGATACATCAAAGCAAACAAAAAAACAATGGAAACAGAAATAAAAGGGTTGTATGCGGCAGGGGACGTGCAGGACAACAGGTACAGACAGGCAATAACTGCAGCATACTCAGGCATGCTAGCAGGAGAGTCAGTTGCCAGCTGGCTAGACACACAGAATCAATAAAAATAGTACTTGTTATTTCTACTCTAGGAGAGGCTAGTGAAGTTGATGTAAAAGTATTGAGATAATACTGATTTTTAATCCATAGTAAGCTCTTAAGATGCAGCAGCAGCTAGTAATGGATTGACCTGCATTCTTTGCCATCAAAAATCAAAAGAAGGCTGATAACAATATAACCTAAAAATGAACATCGCAAAGGCTGTTTAGATTATTTCCTAAACGGTAAAAGTATGCTATGTGCAGATAAAAATGATATCACCAGATATTCTACAAAAACAAGCAGAAAGAGCAGTGGATGTGTGCTAATCAAGAACTGTCTGTGTGTTTTACCACTCGCAGACTGCGTGGCGCAAATTGATAGTCTGTGCAAATAAAACTTATTTACAAAATTATTGTGTTTTTTATGGACTTACAAGAACGCGCAGTAATCGTGGGTGTTCAGCTGAAATCATCAACATACTCAAAAGACCGGCTGTCTGCTCTGAACGAAGCACTGGAGATAGTTAACGATGATAACTTAATCGGGGGAACAGAATTTCTTGACCCTTTAATATTTATACTGCAGAACACACCTGGAGCATGCGCAGACGAAGTGTTCAAAATTCTCAGCAGAATATTCACGGGGAAGAATGGAAGAGAGTTTACAAATATTTTTGTGAATAAAATAGGAGCGAGTTTCATAATAAATACAGTGCTGGAGACAGAAGAGATAAAGATAAGCGAAGAAGTAAAGGATGTGGTGTTCATAGTAATTAAACACAACAAAACCCTGATCATAGAAGAGCTTCTCCGAATGAACAAACACAGCGCACTCATTGACGAGTCGCTAAAGGGAAGAGAGACTCTCATAGAAATGCTCGTAGAGCTCGGAAGAGATTCGAACACGTTCAGAAAAATACTTATTTTCAACGAGTTTATCGACGGGCTGATGAAGCTGTCGTGCGATAAAAGCAGATCAATTGCAAGGTGCAGCATAAAATCGCTTGCTGAGCTAATGAACAGCGACATCTCTGTAGTAAACTACTTTTTCGAAATGCGCTGGAAAGAGTGGATGGTGTATGTGCTGAAAACACACCCAGAGCACGGGCTTAAGGTGGCCTACGCATTTTCAGAGTATCCAAAGTACAGAACTTTCTTATCTACCTTTTCAAACACGCTTTTTGAAATCAAAGACATTGCATCGCTATTTCTCCTTTCCTACACAGAAACAGCGCACACACCAGAGCTTGCAGAGCTAGTCAAGTCAGCATCAACGACAACATGTCCGTGCAAGCTGAATTTTGTCCTTGGATCGTATGCTAACATAGCAGCCACAGGAAAGGTCGCAGAAAAAGAGGTGGGATCAATCGAGTTTTTTGGAGTCATATCAAACTTTTCTGTGGAAATCGATGATCTGGAGATTACCACATTTCTGGCTTCATTTTCGTCTCTTCAGACCATGCCCGTCAATGAGTCCCTGCTTTTCCTCAAGACAGGCATTGCCATTGCGCTCAGAAAAGAGTCTGAGATAATATTCCTGCCAGAGGTGCTTCTGTCTCTGCGAGAGTATCTGCAAAATGACTCATTGCTTGCAGACACGAGAGTGCTTATATCATTTTGGCTGTTTTTAGGGTATATTTATCACAAGGACAAGCCGTCTTTTCTCGATTCTATTTTCAACAATTTTCATGAGAGTGTTCTTCCCCTTTCTCTTCGATTCCTCACTTCTCTGACACACCCAGCATACAATCTGCAGTGCCAGGAGGGAGAGTGCACACGATGCTACTTCCTGCAGCTGACAACGCCTGATGTCATTCCGCACTCTATCGCGCTGCTAACCCAGCTGCTATGGGTGCCTAGCTCGCTCCATTCTCTGATATTTTCTAAGTTTTCCATGTTTTTCAGGGATCCTCAGGTCCCGCCTCCCCCAGAGATTAAAACGCCTCCTGCACAGACAGACAGCGAGCCCACGCCAGCTGCTGAAGTAACACCAGCACCAAATACTCCCCCCTCCCCCACTAAATCGCCAACCACAGGAATATTTGACCTGTAAGCAGAGCAGCAATATTTTACCACTAGTTTTACTCTTCGTGCACTCTAATAAAAAATAAAGTCTACCATCATCTTATAAATAAATAGCAGTTACTGTTTATAATTGAAATTATCACACTAGCACACGCATAAAGCAAAATAAAGCAGCAGATAAGCAGGAGACACACAGCTACTGTATTGTACCTCCTGTACTTTACCATCTTATTGGGGAATTAGCTCAGTGGTAGAGCGTGTGCTTCGCATGTACAAGGTCCCGAGTTCGATCCTTGGATTCTCCATTTTTATCCCCTTGCACTTCTTCATCAGCTCTCTACCTCTAGTTGCTACCAGACTTTATTCCTGCAATGCTCTTTACTTCGCTATCCTCTGATCTGCAGAGCAGCCAAAGAGCACTCAAAAGTGCAGATATCCAGCGATAAGAGTAGCAAGTGAGTCTGCCAATTCCACTGAGCACGGTTAGTCATTAAATAGTGTATTTATTTATTTATTATTCTATGGCTACAGCCTCTTCCGTATTATCCTCTTTCTTTCTGTGCGAGATTATCTCCTCCAGAGACTCCTCCACGTAGTTGGACAGCACATTTCCCAAAACAGCTGCTCTCTTCACTTCTTCTGCCTCCAGCTCCAGTATCATTCCTGTGATCTTTTTTGCAAACTCTTCTTCGTTCCTGAATCCAGCGAGTGCTATCTTCTCGGTGTAGTTCGGTGCGAGGGAGAGAATCAGGGTGTACAGCTCGTATCCTGTTGCGTTCGCATTGTCCTGCGGGGCTGCTGCGGCCTTCTTTTTCCCCTTCCCAGCGCCTGCTGCGCTGCTGTACGCGTTGTTGTACATGTTGATGGCAACTTTTTCCATTTCTCGGGTTTTTTTGCTCTTGAAGAACGTCACGTCAAGCACCTGCCCGCCAAACTCTGTTTTTCCGCTCTGCTCCACGGCCTTTGCAGCCTTCTCTGCCTCTTCGTAGCATATGTATGCGTACGATCTGTTGTTTTTCACGTCTGTTCCTATTTTGTGCGTGACTATCTTTCCAAATTGCTCAAAGTGTTTGATCACCTCTTTTTCGTCCACTGTTCCAGGAAGGTTTGTAACGTAGACATTGCGCCTGTACGCTCCTTGGTCCTGGGAGGAGTGTGCGAACTGCTCTGTCATCTCAACGACTCTCTCGTTCTTGGGCTTGGCTCTTTGCACGTACAGCTTGGGAATGTGCGCAGACTCTTTTCCTTCACCGCTAATTTCACCAGAAGCGGTGGCATCTACTGCATCGCCAATGGACTTTAAGTCAATGCGGCTCTCTTTTCCGCTTTTCTTGCTCTCTGCGCGGGAGAGTGATGGGAACGGCTTGTCGTGCAGATTTTTGATTGCTTCTTCAGCCATCTCGTGTGTTTTGTAGTTGGCAAACACGTACCCTTTGAGCTCCCCCGAGTCTGTCTGCGGCGCAAGGAAGGATGTCAGCTCTCCGTACTGCTGCAGCACCTCTCTGATCTCCTCCTCTGCGGTCTCTTTGGGGAAGTTTTTCACGTAGACATTTGTAAATATTTTTTCTATGTCTTCTTTTTTCTTTTCTCTCTGGTCGTTTGGGATGCACTGGATTGCTGCCAGCTTCTTTCCCTGGAGAGTGATTTTGTTGATCATGTTTATCGCCAGCTCTGCTACCTTTGGGTCCTTGTACTGGATGTATCCTATGCCGCTGCACTCTCCAAGGCTGTTCTTCTGGACTTTGCAGCTCACAATATTTCCGAAAATGATAAAAGTATCGTAGAGTGTTTGATTGTCTGTTTCTTTCGGGAGATTCTTGATCACGATGTTTCCCTCTCTGTTCCCCGAGACGCTTTCTTTGTCCAGCGGCATCACTCGTATTTCTGTGCCGTTGAAGTCGTAGAAGTTAAATGATTCGATGGCCAGCGGAACCGACGACTCGTCAAAGAATGTCACGTACGCGTAGCACTTGTTTTTCACCACTGAGGCTTCCTTTCGCGGGATTATTATCGTGTAGACCTGGCCTACTTTGGAGAACATTTGGTACAGCTCCGATTCGTTCACTGTGGTGGGAAGATCTCCAACATATATCGAGTTGTGTCTTCCGATCTGCCCTTCCTTTTTCTCTTTCTGTGCATCTTCAATATTCATTTTGCAAAAAAAGAAAATTGTAAATTTATTATGTTCAAAATTATTCCAGCAGCGGGTGAAATGGGATCAAATACTGCTGCAGTGTGGAGAAAAAAGGAGGCTTACATCCCGAGACAGTGCTAGCTGATAAAGAAAAGATCCTGCAGAGGATTTCTCTGCTAGATATTGGCGTAGATGGAGCGAGTGCAGTGCCAATAAGTTTGTTGATGGGTGTGCAAAGTGCCAGTGCATACGAGTATTTCTCGGGAGATTCGCTTATAATCTTTTGTATTTATTTATCTTAATAGGCTGTATAGGAACAAGAAAATCAGCAAAATAATTCCTAACTTATTCGTTATTTCTATCTGCTGCAGTGGAGTCTGTGTGAACTGGGCGTTTCTGAAAGGATAGAAATGGGCTCCAAAGGGCCCCGAGGAGAACTGCGCGCCTCCTCCATTCATGTGCATGCACCACTTGATAAACTGCTCCAGCTCGTCCTGCGTCATGTTCCCGCCCTCTGGCCTTCTCGTAAAATTTCTGTAGTTCTCGGTGTATCTGTGTTTTGGCTTATCGTCTGTTAGATCTTCGTATGCTTTTCTGAGGATAATGAAAGCCTCTGATGCTTTTGGGCTTGGGTTCCTGTCCGGATGGATTTTCACGGCCAATCTCTTGTAGCTGCTTCTGATCTGCTCTTTCGTGCTGCCTTCGGGAACATTCAGCACTTTGTAGCTGTTTTCTTTGTTCCGGATAATTCTTGCTATGTCATCCATGCTAAAATTTTAGAAAAATATAAACCGAACTTTATTCGGCACAAAAATAAAAATAGCGCAGGAAATTCGCGCAGCCTCAGCGGCAACAGTGCTTTGATTAAATTGAGAGTTTATTGATCTGATTTAATTTAACCGAATAAGTCTAGGTCAGCTCCTGAGCTTTCTTCTTCTGACTCTTCTACTTCTTCTTTCTTCTCTTCCACTGCCTGTGCAGCAGAGCCGGATGCTGCCTGCACAGATCCGCCGATTGGGTTCTCAATGATGCTCTGGATCTGCTCGCTGGACAGCTTGCTGAACAGCTCTGCAAGGTACGAGTCTATGTTGACGCCCAGGTAGTTTCCTACCTCCTTGATTTTGTTTTCTGTTACATCCTTTCCTAGGGAGTGGAGTAATAATGTTGTTAGTACGCATATTTCTTTTTGTTCGATCATCTTCAGCAGTTTAACTTATATAAGAGCTTAAAGGCAAGGGGTTAAAATTTTCACTTTTAAATATTCTAAAATAAATAAATTCTCGGATGTCCTCTGAGTAAAAATAAAAGCAGACTGCAAATAAACTGTCCTAGCAGACAGAACTAAAAGTTTTTATGGGTAGCAGATATTTATGGGCTGGGGAAAGACTGGGAGAGAACCCTGCAGAGGTAATTGCATGAAATAATGTTTCACTTTCCATTGGCGTTTCATCTATCACTATAATAAATAAACAGGCCATGCATAAAACACAGACACATCCAGTAAATATGCAGAGAAAGAACCCAGTGGTGGACGATTATTGGAAATCCGTATTGAACTATGTATCATCCTCGCTATACAAAGACAACGCTCTTCCTCTTGCGAGAATAAAAAGGCTGATGAAGGTCGAGCAGGAGGTGAGCAAGGTTGCAAGCGAGGTGCCTCTTTTGTTCTCCCGAATCACCGAGATATTCATCGAAGAGCTGACCCTGCGCGCATGGCAGTACACCGAAAAAGGAAAAAGAAGAATTCTGCAGCGAAGCGACATCTGCTCAGCAGCGAAGTCCTCCGACATTTTTGACTTCCTGATATACCTCATGCCGCGCGGCACGGGAATAGTGGAGCTGAACATAAACACGCAGCCAAAGTACAAATACTAGCAAAGAAGATCGAAAGACAAATAGGAAATTTAATTAATCAGAATAAATACGAACAATAACTATAGCATTAATCAGCAGAAAGAAGCTGCAGAATAGAAAGAATAAATTTCAATAAGTTATTACTGCCATACCATTAATTTCAGAGCTTTTGCCTTGCACTTCTATCTATTCCTTGCTTTCTTCTGTTGTTGTCTTGATTGTGTAGTATTTGTTTAGAATGCTGTCTGGGATTCTGTTCAGCAGCTCCTTGGGGAAGATCCTGAGCAGCCTCCACGCCAGATCCAGCGACTCTGTTATCGTTCTGTTTTCGTCTTTTCTCTGGCTGATAAACTCTTTTTCAAAGTTTTCAACAAACTCAATGACCAGCTTGTCTTCCATTGAGAGAGACTCTTCGCCCACCACAGACTTCATGGAGAGCGCCTCCTTCCCCACTGCGTACTTCGAGTACAGCTGGCTCGATACGTCTGAGTGATCATCTCGTGTCATGTTCTCTCCAATTGCTGATTTCATCAGTCTCGACAAAGAAGGAAGAACATTGATGGGAGGGTATATCTGTCTGTTGTGCAGTGTTCTGTCGATGTATATCTGTCCCTCAGTGATGTATCCCGTGAGATCAGGGATGGGGTGCGTGATGTCATCGTTTGGCATCGTAAGAATTGGTATTTGCGTGATCGATCCATCCACGCCTGCGATGCGCCCTGCTCTCTCGTATATCGTAGACAGATCGGTGTACATGTACCCAGGATATCCTCTTCTTCCAGGCACCTCCTCTCTTGCTGCGCTCACCTCTCTCAGGGCATCTGCGTACGAGCTCATATCTGTCATGATCATAAGAACGTGTTTTCCCGTTGTGTATGCCAGATACTCAGCTGCAGTGAGGGCAAAGCGCGGAGTGATGATTCTTTCTATGGTGGGATCATTTGCCAAATTGAGATAGAGCACAGTTCGATCAAGCACTCCGCTTTGCTCAAACTCGTTCCTGAAAAATTGTGCTGTCTCTGCATTCACTCCCATTGCAGCAAAAACAATCGAGAAATTGTCGTTACTTCTATCCACCGTGCTTTTGTTGTTGACTAATCCTGCCTGTCTGCATATCTGCGCAGCTACTTCATTGTGCGGCAGTCCTGCACCGCTGAAGATCGGTATCTTCTGTCCTCTCGCTACTGAGTTCATTACGTCAATTGCAGATATTCCTGTCTGCACCATTTCCTCTGGGTATATTCTTGCGTACGGGTTTATTGGCTGGCCTTCTATGTCCAGATAGTCTTCTGCAACTATCTTTGGCCCTCCGTCTATGGGAATGCCTGTGCTGTTGAACGTGCGCCCTAGCAGATCTTCTGAAACCGCCATTTTCATTGTTTCACCTGTAAACTCGGCGCAGGTGTGTTTGGTGTCTATTCCTGCAGTTCCTTCAAAGACCTGAATGACTGCTTTCTTGCCGCACACTTCCAAAACCTTTCCTGTGCGCTTGCTTCCATCAGGAAGAGTTAGCTGGACTATTTCTGCGTATTTTGGGGCCTTCACATTGTCCATTATGACCAGAGGACCGTTCACACTCGATACGGTCCTGTATGTTGTCGTTGGGGGAAGACACGAGTCTTTCAGTGCTTGCACATGCTCAGCGAAAGCTTCATAATTTTGCATTTATGAAAATATTTGTTCGGGTTTATTTAAAATGGCAATTTGTTTCTGCGATGACGCAATACGTAAATATTGGAAAATTGCAGAACGTTAGAAGAGTTTCAGAAGAGAAGGTGGAGAGACAGAGAGTCGTAAATAGTTCAACCGCATTCAGTCTTTGGCAGTTTTACTTATCAAATGATGGAAAGGCTCTGTAGAATGTTTGCAGTGTTTTGTGCTAGTTATTCATCACATTTGAATAAATATTTTCATTGCTGGATGAAGAAAGAGTTTGAAGCGCTTCTTTGGGCAGTGGAGGATAAGATAAAAGATAGCAAGGAAGATATAACCCGAGAAATAGTGGAGCTGGAGCTGGCCATCATAAACTCCCTAAAATAATTAAAATATGCACATGTTAGTACACTGCTATTCTTTATTTGCTTTGTGTTTGGCTTTTTCTTTTCAGTATGTCTATTGTCTCACGTGCTGTATATACGAATTTGTTCTTTTTGACATATTCTATGAGAGATTTCCATGTGGGGTCTTTTTTCAAAAGATCCATGCTCCCGACTACTATCACTGTGTATTTAGCTCTGGTCAGAGCGACATTCATTCGCCTTATGTCGTTCAGAAATCCTATCTTTTTGCTGCGCACTGTCGATATAACAATGCAGTCCTTCTCCTGTCCCTGGAACCCATCCACTGTAGAGATTTCTACGTTTTTGATCACACTTTTCATCAGACGAACCTGACCTTTGTACGGGCTGATAACTCCCACAGATGCATAGGTTTTTAGAGCCACGGGAAGAAGCTGTGCAACAATCGCACACTCTTTTCTATTGCAGACTTCTTTGCTGTTTACTTCCTCTGTCCCTGCCGCATCGATAAACGCGAAAGGCAGACATGACTCCAAAGACACGCCATTTTTTAATTTTCCATTGTAGAATTCATTGCTTGCAAATTCTGAAATAGCTGCATGCATTCTGTACTGCGTGTCGAGAAGAATGGGCGGGATAGAGACAGACATTCTTTCGAACAAAGTCACAGCAAGGTCTTTAGACTGCGAGAGAATGGTGGGCGGGAGCTGCATGGGGTCTCCCACAAGCACAATGGTTTTAAGCGATGATCGCAGCGGTATAATTGAGCTGGGCTCTGTTGCCTGGCATGCTTCATCGATCACCACAGCATCAAAGGGCACATCTTTAAGAATGATCGAACCTGCCATTGATAGTGTTGAGAAAACAAGCCGTGCACACAGCACAGCCTCTTTACAGTCGTATTTTGCCTGCTCTGAGATATTTCCATTTTGCTGTGAAATATTTCCATATGCGGTATTATTATCTACGTTACTGCCACTCGAGGGTGATGAAAGGCTTTCACCAGCTGATTCTGAAATGTGCATGCTAGAGGAGCCTGCTGGGTCTGGTGCAGCGTGCTGATTGTCCACTGAGCTTTTGGAGACTAGCGGACTGCCCACGCGCATCCACTGATTGCTCTGCACTAGGCCTTTCCACACTCCTCCACTTTCTATTAGCATATCAACTGCTGCATTGCTCGGGGCGCATACGAGCACTCGGTGTTTGTCTAAGAGAAGATGGGATATGATGCTCGAGATTGTTTTTGTTTTTCCCGTGCCTGGCGGGCCCTGTATGAGAGTGATGTCCTTGTGCAGCGCAGTCATTACTGCAGTCTGCTGGCTCTTATTCAGCTGGTTGTAGAACTCTGCGACTTCTTTGCACTCTGATGTGAGGGAGTTCAGTCTATTTTTCTGGTACTGGACATTCATTGCTTTTTCTCTAAAACTTCCGTGTGTGTTGGCTGGCTTGCACGGAGAGAATATTTTGTGCCTGAAAGAAAGACTTTGCATTCGGATAAGCGCATCGTACTCCCTCATTCCCGTGATGACATTTGCAACCACCTGAAGATTCACTTTGTAGTATCTATTCTGCTGCTCAAGAGTCTTTTTGTCCACAGCAATGCTGCACTGTCCGTTCTTGTGGTGCATCACAAGGCCTGTGCAGGAATCGCTTCCATCTTTGCTTTCTATTTTCACTACGTCGTTTATTAGCAGTACAGTCTCCTGTTTTAGGTACACAACAGTGAATGTTGTTATCGTTTGGCTCTCACACATTGCAATAACTATCCCATCAACTGACACTTTTGGGAATTCTTCGCTTTCACTATTTGCCTCTATGGATGCGAGTGTTTCCTGTATGATGTTCGAAGAGTACGCCTCAAAATATTCTGAAAATTTTGCATAAGATGGCTTGACAGCAGAAGTGTGTTCAGGCTTTCTGTTTTGCACTACGGAAATGATAAAATCCCTATTTGTGCATATTTCTTCATATGCTGGCTGTGGAGGCTTCTGCCATGCAATGATGTTCTGTGTGCGGGGAAGCAGTGCAGTGTCTTTTTCTGCATGCTCCACTGTTTGGTCTTTTTTCTTGTCAACCATTCGCTCTGCCCTCTTGAACAGCCTTTTCATGGCTTCGTCTTCTTTCAGGGCGTTTTCTTTTTGAATTCTCTGAAAACTGTTTACTACCGATTTTACTACTGTCTTGTGGTCATTCGCGAGGAGTAGGTACTTGTCAAAAAGATTTTTTAGGAAAGTCAATTTCAGATTCCCTTTAGCTGCCATCTTCAAGTCCAGTGTGTGTATCCATTCGAAGCTTATGTCTGCGCCATCGCACACTATCTTGTCTAAGTTAACAACAATGTAATTAATCTGCGATAGCACAGGGTCTGTGATGGGAAGACTCAGCAGCGCATACAACAGCTTGAGAATAACGCATTCTTCGGCTATATTTTCGTGTGTCTGCGGGCTGCAATCATTCTGCGTGGTCTCGCATAAATCACTTCCCGTCTTATCTCCTCTGCTGAGTATGTAATTGCTGATGTACTTTTCAATGACCATGCAGAGCCCTTCTACACCTGCTGGCACTATGTGAGTCATTTTGTACAGAAGTGTGCACTCTTTAATCAGCGACAGAAGCACTTCTACTTCCACTGACTCCAAATGCTCAACGTGTTTTCTGTGCTGAAAAGATGCCATCATAACACTATCTCTCCCATTCAGCGTGGACTTGTCAATTTTATCCAGTCTGCTGCTTATTGCATCATTTAGAGTGCTAAATGCAATGTGCAGCTGGCTGTGATACTCTGGCCTGTATCTAGTGCTTTTTGGGTGCATTCTAAAAAAGAACAACGAAATAAAAGCGGACACCACACAGTCAGAGTATGCATGCAATCTATCCCGCCACAGTCTGCAGCAGGTGATCAGCATAATCTCCAACTGTTTGGTGTCAATGCTCTTTAGCGGGCCATCTCTTTCTGGTACTTCTATCCTTGGAACTTCCTGTATTCGACGAGTGTATGTGTTTATGGCATCTACTGTCTCAAGCACAAGGCTGCGCATCATGCTGTTGTACTCCTGTGCAACTCCTCTGTGCACCGCATACTCTGCTTGGAAAAGCAGATACTCGAGCATGCCGCTCTGAAAGAGATCTATGAGCGAGATATCTCTGTTTTTTGACATTTCAACAACCCCCAAATAAACTCTTTTTATGATGCTCTTACTGTTGGACATGTATCCGTTCTTTAGTACAAGGAGCTTGAGCGATTTTTTTATATTCAGCTTTATGCCCAATTCGAGCATCTCCCACGTGGTAAAAAGAAGGAGTATTTTTATGTCCGATGGCTCCTGTCTGTTTTTCGACAGAAAGTGGTCGAGGTTCAGCTTCAGAATTTCATCAAGCGTTTTTTCAATCAGCTCCAAGTTGTTTTTGCTGTTTTTCTTGGGCTCTCCGGTTATACTCACTTCTCCAGCAATCAGTATTTTGTAAATACTGAAAATAACGGCCATGCTGTCAGATTTTGGGCTCTTAACTACTTCCTCCAAGATGCTGTAGTGCGGGTGCACAAGAGCTCCTCCAAGGACCACAAAAATAAATAGCGATTTTAGAAAGTTTCTTTCTTTGTACTTTGCAGATTCTGCATGTATTTCTCTGTGCATTTTGTAAAAAAATGTGCCTCCTGCGGCCATTCCAGAAAGATATCCTGGCGTGCTGTACAGCTCGCACACGCTTACAATGCACCACTCTTTCAATGTTTCTTCTCCTGAAAACAGGAATATTATCGGAATTAGGGGAGTGGGAGGCACCAGGCGAATAAGCTTGTTCCTTTCTATGAACTCTCTAAGGGGTGCTCTAAGGACCGAGTTTTCACGCACTAGCTCGAGCCACATGTACTCAGAGAGCTCGAGAAAAGAGTCCGTTGATCCTCTAGCTAGGCCCTGCCTGATAGACTCTATTTCCTGCGGAACATCCATGCCTTCCAGCTGGGAAAAGTCTTCTGCCATTCTGTATCTTTGGATCTTCATGAGGGTTGTTTTTGAATGATCTACTTTCTGTATGTCTTTGCGAAGAGGGTCGGGCATAAATAAAAAATCTGCAAATTGGAGAATGCTTAAAAATATAGATATAGCCCAAGGGAGCGCAAAACACAGTATTTTACGAAGACTGCAAAACAGCGCAAATATGCCAAGAAAATAGTAGAAAATATCGTCTTAATTTCGCATGGATGGCAGTGCACAGTTGATGATAGGCAGAGAATGAACGCAAAGCCAGGAGATTGCGTAGCTCTTAAACACCTGCGAATAATTTAAATTGTGCAGCTTATCTTTAAATCATCTTGAGAATACTGCCAGTGCATCCTTGAAGAAAGTGTACACTGTTTTTTCTGCTAGAAAGTTTAGCTAGAAATTACAGCCATAAGAAAATGAAAAAACAGCGGTAGAATCAGTGTAGAAAAAGCAGTAGTAATTATAATAACTTATTTATTCAACAGTAGGTGCTATGCTGTACGCATCCTAGTTATTCCATGAATCAAGATAGATCTTAGGGAGCATATCTTTCACTACTTCCAGCTCGTCTTTGTTCAGGATGTTCTCTACGCTTTCTAGGCCTAGAGTGCTCTCTTCTATCTCCTCTATCTCATCTGGCAGCTCTTTACATATCGATTTAAACCGGCTTCTTTTCTCCAGCAAGTCTTCCAGCTCCTGGTAGTAAGTGGCATCTTCTTCTTTCTTCTTCTTCTTTTTCAGCTTCTTAAAGAGGGTTTCTATGTTTGTGTCTATTTTCTCAAGGAGAGAATGGTAGAACAAATAGCTTATGTGCGTGCTTCTGTTTTCTATTATCTTTTTCCGGTTGTTTGCGTTTATTTTCTCTACTTTTTTTAGTATTTCAAAATAGTCCGTGCTTTTCTCTATGCTTTCTATCTCTGTCTCTTCGGCCAAGCTGCCTAGGATCGCTGAAAGAGCCTCATTGATGTCTGCAGGCGGGTCTGACTTATTCGTTATTCTTCGGCTTCTTTTTTCCTCTTCTGTTATCTCCAGTGTTTCTACATCCACTGTGTCAACGAGCGATCCTATGAGACTGTTTAGGATGTTTTTGTTTTTTTTTGTGCTTTCCAGCTTTTTGTTTTTTATTTCTTCTGAGAACGGCTTCTTGTTTCTTTCTTCCAGCAAGCCATACGTCTCCTCGGACAGAGGCTTTAGATATTCATATACATACGTATTGAGCGCGGTGTTTGTTAGAATAAACCCCTCTGTTGGCTTTGTTCCCTGGGTGCTCTTAAGCGTTTTTGTGTTTGGGTTGTTCTTTATTGGAGTATGCGGCTCCGCTGACTTCCCGTGCATAAAAAACAAAAGACCCGAAATATTTAAATAAGCATGAAGGCCTTAGAAGTGCCAGAACGAGTGCATAATCCATTAAAAAGCGATGAATAGTCCGAGTGTTCATTTATCCACAAACAATCTGCTTTTACAGCACATAACCAAACAAATCCTAAAAAGTACAAAACATCAAAATCTCAAGTTCTCTGCTTACAGATTATACCACTCTGATTGTCTATACTACTAAAGTGTATACTTGCTATCGCATTCTTAGTTTCTGTGATTTTTATGTCAGTCATATGCTGTAGCATTCCATGTATATGCAGCTTATAAGAGTATAAATAAATTTTCTTTTATTTTGATCTCAATGCAAACTCTACTCTTGCATCTGCTGGAGACAATTGTTCTTGGAGTGAACTGAAGTAAATTTGAAAAAGTCTTATACCAGTAAATTTATTACAAATAGAATATACACTATCTTACTCAGAAGTGTAGAAATACGATACTAACAAGACTTTTAGATAGTCTTTGATATAGTCTTTGATGGATTTTGTACCTCTGTATCTTGAGGGCCTATCAGTATGCGGCGCTCTACAAAGCTTCTTCCAACAGCTGGCCTTTCCTTTATTATTTCAACAGTGGTAGGAATAAGACAAAATAAAATCATGAAAATGGTGTAGAAAATCACTGCTAAAGCTCTCAGAGACACCGAATTCATTTTTTCCAATAAATTCTCGCAGAACCTAGTTACCACAGGAGAGTCGATTGAATACAAAGTGCTGAAGACAGCGGCCAGAATCATCAGCACTACAGAAGCTATGACAAACATAACCGTGCATGTGTATATGTACGACTTCCAGTCGGCATCAAAAATTGTTTTATCTATCACCGGTATCTGCTCCTTAGAGTACATGCCCAACTTGAAGTGTTTGAAGGCCGAAAAGAACGACATAAATCCACTAAACATGATGGAGCACAGACACAAGATAGTATTTATCCCCTCGATGAAGATAGAGGCAACACTTTTCGCTTTAGCTCTGTATCCGCTCTTAATGATCGAAAGAGGGAAGGTGCAGATGGCATATAATAGGTTTATGGTGCTTGATGAAATGCATATTTGTTTGAAATTGTTCACAATGATATTGGGAAGCTCGCCTAGCATTTTTTCCTTGATGTTTTTCTCGAGAGTAACAATACCTGAACCAAGGCGCACCTCTCCCAGCACTGCTCCTGCACAGAATGACGCAGAATGAACAAAAACAGAGAAGAACCAGTTTATGGCCGTGATCACTGCCAGATAGAAAGCTTTTCCAAGAAGAGGCTCTTTGCTGTACCACAGAGCAAATTTTGACAAGTATGTTAAAGCCTCTGCACAAGAGTTTATATTGCACAAGAGTATGGGGACGGTCAGAGGCGCGAATATAACAGCTGCCCACACAGCAATCACTGTGGCAAATTTTGTTTTAATATCGGCCTTTCCTTCGTTCAGTTTGTTTATCTCTCTTTCGTACACTTTCTTCTTATCCTCGCTTAGATCCTTACTCCCTGTTATCTCTTCAAATTTTTCCATGTTTTTTATAATATCTATTTTCACGTCCTTAAAGCCGTCTTTTGAGGTGATTTTAAACTCTGGATCGTCAATGTCTTTTATCTTCTCCTCTAGCAGTATTTCTCTAAAATAAACAACGGAAATTGTAATGTACGTGAAAAAGATGCTCAACGAGGCAAGTGTTGATACTGCTACAAAGCTGTTCCCAAAGTCAGCATCCCAAAACCTAGTGAGCAAGGCCATGATCCCAACGGATATCCCCACTGACTCTGCTAGACCAAAAATACAGGCTATAAGAGTTGTGACAGGCTTAATTTGGCGAGAATAGAAGCCCTCCAGAAACTTTGATATTCCATACAAAATCGCAAAAATGGAGCTTACCCAGGCAGAAAACTCCACAGTGATGCGCACAGCCTTTGCCATCCTGTACAGAGAAAGAACTGAAATAAAATCAGTAGCTCTTGCAGAGTCAAACAGAAGAAATCCCGCGTATACAAACAGCAAAACAGATGAAATCGCAAATACCGTTAGAACCAAAAAATGAACTATGGATTGGAGTGTTGTCTTTTTCCCTTTGATGTACTTGAGCTTTCCTTGCGACTGTATCTGCTCTTCGATCTTTTTATACGGTGCAAAATTCGACAGCTTAATGTTTATTCCCATCGTTATAAGTATAAGGGGCACCACTGATCAATTAGCATAAATAGCTCTCTCCTGTTTTTCTCCTTGCCATCTGAATCTCTACTATTGCATGGTATTTATGCTCTGCTCCAGTAAAAGAGTATTAAACTGCACATTCTACTTCTGGAGACTTTTGCACTATTTTTCCGTGCTGCAATGCCAATTAATTTTTTATTTGACCTCATCATAATCGGTCAGAGCTAAAAGAGCCAGTCATTTTACGGTAAAATATAGCCAATCAGAAATAAACAGCTAAACATCTACAGGCCAGATAAACTTGGCAGGAAGAAAACACAATCTAAAACCGTCTGAATCGCATCACTAATCACAGCCTGCAGTGATTTCAGCTATCTTCCAGAGCACGAAGGACCGGTAAACTATTCTCTGATTTATTTAAATAATATCGAATCACCATAGGATAGCCCTCTATTTCGAGTCTCTGAATATTCCAACGACTATTGCGTGATCTCTCTCGTACGGCTCCAGAGTTGTCTGCTCCTTTGGCTTGATGTCTAGTTTTCTCAGGATGTTCACTTCGTTTGCAAACACCTCAGCAGGGGCCTTGACTGAGTCAATGCAGTTTGCTTTGATGGAGATGACAACTCCTCCCTTCTCCTTCAGGAAGTATTTTGCATTGAGCCCAACAATTCTTGCCTGATCTGGCTGTGCTACATCTGCAAAAATAACATCGACTATTGGCACAAGCATTCTGTATCTCTGCGGCAGCCTAGCGTCTTCAATGATCGGCACAATGTTTGTTCTTTTCTTTGCCAGGCTGAGCAGATCTCTTCCTGATCTGTGGCTGAACTCAACAGCGTACACCACTCCCTCTGGGCCCACGAGATCTGATACGTGCGACACGCTTGTCCCCGATGCTGCGCCAAGGTACAGCACCTTTGATCCGGGCACAATGTGGATGTTCTCGAGGCCTCCAAGGATCCCTGCAGCAAGCTTGCTTCTGAACGGGTTCCATGCTCTGTACTCCACTTTGTTGTCGTCTGGGCCTGCAAGAATCCTCTTCTCTCCGTACACAGACACGCCCGGCGTTAAATTGCGCGTTGCAAGTGTTTCTTCTTTTCCTCTGGCTAAAAACACGCCTTTAAATCTGGGGTGGGGCTGCAGAACAACTTCCTTTGACTTTGCCCCCTGTTTTTTGTTCTGGAATCTGTTTGGCTGTCCTCCCTGTCGGCCTGCATTGCTAAACGGTCTTTTTTTGTCTCCTCTTCCTACTGCCATAAAATTTTACAATGAGCGAAATATTTTAAATAATTTATGTTTTTTATTGTGCTAATAGTGAAATAAATAAAAATAGTCTAACAGCTATTTGGATAGCATCCCGAGAAAAGTGCATTTGTATGAGCACTCGAAATGCATGAAAGGTTTTATGATCACGTGTATCAGTCAGATAAGATATACCTCTACTAGTGAAAATTTAGCAGTAATGTTCTACAGCAATAAATTACCGATTCTTCCTCCAGCATTCTACTTGACAAAGATGAGCATAGAAAATAACGAAAGATTGAATCAGTATCTAATGAATATATTATTGATAGTTGGTGTTTATGCTTATTTGTCTGGCTGGTAAATGCTCTACCACTCCATTCGCATTTTCTTCTTTCTTACCTCTTCCTCCTGCTCCTCTGTCTTTTCCTCTTCGAACTCTGTTACGTACTTTATGCCTCTCGTCTGTATCTGTCCGAGCTTTCTTCTTTTCTCTTCCTGTTTTGTTGTCTGCTCCTGCTCCAGCATTCCCTTGTTCCCGTACACGCCCAGCTTGTACCTCTCCAGCACTTCCTTTTCAATTGAGCTTTCTATCTTTGCTACTCTGGCTGCTTTTGCCTCTCGGGCTCTGTCCTGTCTCTCTGCCTTCTTTCTCTTGTGGATGTACTCAGGACGGCCCATATGGTCTAATAGCGCTTTTCTTTCTAGGTAGTCAGAGAGTTTGGTCAGCCGCTGTTTACACTTGTGCAGTAAAAACACGCCCCAGCCTTTGAGCTCTTCGCTTATCGTCTTGAGCGCGGTGTCGTAGTCCTCATCCAGCTCTACTTTTTCGTAGAGCGACTTGGGCTTGTGTCTTCTCTCTGGCTCTTTCATCAGCAGATACAGCTTCCCCTTTATTTCTCTGACTGTTGCGTACTTGGAGTTAGACAGAGGACAGGAAGCTCTGCTGCACAGCCCGGTGACATTGTTTGCGTTTCTGCAGAGTGTTTCTGTTTCTGTTTTCATCTTGAACGAACAAAAGCTGCTTGCGCCTCCAATGCTGCTCCATATGGTCTCGTCATCCAGCATAGTAAAAAAAATGTTTGCAGAATGTAACGGTCGTGCTTATCACTCGGGTTCACAGCATTTTTCAACACATTACTGGATCCCTTGTGGTCTAGTGGCTAGGATTTCGCGTTTTCACCGCGACGGCCGGGGTTCAATTCCCCGCAAGGGAATCTTTTTATTATTTTGCGATGGAGAGTGGAAACAAGAATTCAGCGATATTCAGTGCAGCACTGCAGGAGCACGCCCAGAGAGAAGGAGAAGGAAGAGAGAAGGGTGGGAGCGGGAGTAAGAAGAGTGTCTGCCATAGCCATCTGCTTGGAGTGTGTCCAAGACACGAGCTGAAGAGTTCTTTTCAAAATGCGTGTTTGTATGACCACCCAAAAGAGAATGGCATTGTACACTCTGAAGTATCTACTTTTTCTTCGGGTAAAATGGGATACTACGAGCATAGAAGCTTTCTTCTTAGAAGCGAAAGACTGAAGGACGAAGTAAAACAGATTCTAGGAAAGATGAAGAAACAGAAGATGGAGACCAAAGAAATGGTGCGCTACAGAGAAATAAAGAAGAGAGCAAAAATATTTGAGATAAATGGAAAGATGGAGCTGGCGAGCATTGAAAAGAGCAAGCTGAGACAAGAAGAAGAGAAAAACAACAAAAACAAAGCGGTCAGAATAAAGTGCAAAATATGCCCGCAGTATCTCCCATGGATGGAAAATGAAAGAAAAGCACACTACGAGGGAAGAGTGCACAGAGCATATATAAAGATGCGAGAGTATTTGCAAAAGTACTATTCAGGTGCGATTCATGTAGATCAAAATAGAAGCTTTCTTAGTTGAACTGCTGCATCTCTTTTTTGTGATCTATACTAACTCTACTGCTGCATTTATTCATGGTGCAGTATGAACTAATTTTACTGGTATTTGGTTCATAAAAGTATCCTATAATGTGATACATATAGTGCAAAGTGCCAAAGCATCAGTTTAAATCATTTGAGAGCACTGAATGCATCTATTTCCTAACCGAGTTCAAATACAGCAAAATTATTAATTCTTTACAAATATTTTCAGTATGGGCTACATAGACTGTGAATACAACGCAATAGGAAGAGATAAAGCTGGCGTCATAGTGACCAACGAAGGATCAAAGATACTGGCAGTTCTGAACGGGCCATTTGAGCCAACGGGCAGTATAATCAATGTGCATGAGGGGACTGTTCGGGTCACCATCGCAGGAGCTGGTGCGCGCAGAACAGAATATGCAGCACACCAGGAGAGCATAGAAAAAACACTGTCAGAGATAATTTATTTGCGGGATTATCCAAGAAGCATATTGGACATCAGGGTGTTTGTAATGCTGAGTGCAGATAACGTATTTACAGCAATCCTCAACTCGATATCAATGCTCCTTATGAATGCTGGCATCCAAATGAAGGGAGTTTTGTTATCGGTCTACATGGACAAGTGCAGAAGCACTGCAGGGTACGTCTACTCAAATAAAAAATACCAGAAGCTGCTGCAAATAGGGACAAATGAAGAAGAAAGCTCTGCTAACTTGCTAGATGATCTGCTAGAGCGAATGCTGTTCTCATTAAAGGAGGACTATAAGAGGGATTGGATGCTTATATAGATAATTTGAGAATAAAACTCAGTGTACGTTATATATATTTTCTTTTTCGGTTATTTCCAGCGTTTGTAGCACTGTTTTATTTTTTGTGCTTCTACTGCTTGAATGTGCTAATTTCTTTGTACCTATGGAAGTAGTGATAATTTACTATATTCAAGAGAAAATTAATTGTTTTGTTTAGCTCGTAGTGATCCTTTGCTCAGGTTGAATGCATCGCTGTTTGTGACTTATTCACAAATGCTCTCCACCAGATATTTGAAATCTGCAGCTATATACAGGTTGTTGATCTTTGTTGCATGATTGCTCAGCCAACTAGTGCCATTCTTTCTTCTGCAAATTATTTTTGCGAGCTAAAACAGTTAGCATCTCAACTACACATAAAAATTTCAGCAGTAAAAGTATTTGTATGTGCTGCAATTTTTAATTCTTTTATGAAACAAACAGAAGAAAAGTACGCGCCATTGGTGCTAACAGGGTTATCCATGCTGAAAGAAGACACACATCCCGCTATTCTAGAGGGGTGCAAAAAAGAAACAGGGTTTATAGGTGTAAATAACTTCAGGAAAACAAGAAACATTTTCGGGCTCTCGCAGCCAACAACCGAAGGTATCCACAATCTCGTGAATTTTTATAAGAAAAAGATTGTTTGGATCAACCTGCGAGAAGAGCCCGTTATCTACATAAATGGCCTTCCTTTTGTTCTAAGAGATAAAAAGGCGCCTTTTTCAAACATCAAATCTTTTGTTGGAATATCTTTCAAAAGAATGGAGGAGATGGAGGAGCGGCTGAAAAAAGACATCGAGCAGCTGTCGCAGAAGTCCGACGGGTTTATAAAGGTGTACACGGAAAAAACACCAAAGACCCTGTGGCTCAACAACATGTATGTCCGAGAGGTGGAGACCGTCAGAGATATTTTCAACCGAGTGGGAAACATCAAGTACTACAGAATACCCATAACCCGGATGAACAGCAAGGAATCCTTCATATCGGCCCTGGACACTGTTCTTAATAAAATCCAAAAGAAAGAGGACTACCAGGACTATGTGATAGGGTTTAACTCAAGCAATGGGCTGGAGAAGACGTCGTATGGAATGAGCGTGTGTCTGATCCGAGAGCTGATAAACAGCGAGCCAGCCATCGAAGAGCAGAAACTGTCTACCTTTTCAAGAGTGCTGGAAGTGCTGGAAAAAGTGCACACAAAAGATAATCTATCTAGTTTTTTGATAAAAACAGGAAACGTTGTGCCTATCTTGGAAAAAGCCATAAAAGGAAAATATACGATAATAGAGCGGCTGATCCATGCAATGAACCTGGCAGACATCAAGCCCTTTGTGAATATGATTTTCAGCGAGATAGAGTACAATATTCTCCCTGCCTTGCTGGAGAACGTTCTTACATTCCAGTGCTACAGAAACAGAGAATCACTAAAAAAATCAGGCGTTCTTTTGGAAAGATACATTTCACTGGTTCTGTATGCCATATACAGGAAAGAAGGTATAGAGCACTCGTTCATAGACTGGATCACTGGCTCGCCAATCATCCAGGGAGTGATCAATGAGGTGGCAATTAAAAGCCCAAATAAAAATATATTTCTTCCCGCTGTTATCAACCAGAAAAGCAGCACCGACGAGGAGTGGACAGCCATCATAGGCGCAAGCACAGTTCTCCGGGCAGACAAAGATCAAAACGAGATACTCGCAAAAAAAGTTCTGAAAGCTGAAAAAGAGAAAGATCTGATTATTGAAATGCACCAGCCCAATATTGACACAGACTTGTCTTTTTTGAAAACTCCTGCCATATGGATCAACTTAAGAGCCGAGCCAATTGTCTATATAGAGGGAGTGCCTCACTCGGAGAGAGAAAGAATAGAGCCAAACCATAACATAAAAGCACCATCGGGCATAACAGATGAACTTGTGAACAACCAGGAAGAAATACTCATACGAAGGATCCAGAACGAGGGAAGCCAGCTGCAGGGAGAAATACTTTTGTTCGTAACAGAGTCTAACAAGATAAAAACAAAAAGAGCAAATGTAAAAGAAAAGAAAGTGCAGACATGCAGAGAGTTTATATCAGAGCTAAAAATGGTAAACTACATGCGAATTCCTATGATTTCCAAGGCTCCTCTTAACCCAAATATAGTTGATATGGTGTACGCTGTGCTAGCTAGCAACAATGGAATGCCAGTTATTTTGCAGGCCACAGGGTATCTGGGAAGAACAAGAATCATAAAAACGCTGGCAGATGTCATCAGAAGAACAAAAGAAATGCAGAGCAAAAAAGATGTGCTAGATCGGCTGGCACGGCCTGTTCTTATACGGTCGATAGAGACTCTTATCAGAATATTGTGCAACGGAATTGTGTCTGAAATAATAGTGAGAGAAGCGTGGACTCGGATAGAAGGGAAAGACATATACGATATGTACAGCACAGGCCATCTGTCCTCAAAGCATCTCATAAATTACATACTACTAATATCGCTGGCCTCGTATATACTCGAAGAGAGTACAATCTCGTTTAGAAAATGGATAAATCAGAGAAAAGACATCCTAAACCTCTACAAAAGCATAGAAGATATTGAAAATACACTGGAGATAGATAGTGTGTGCAACCTGGACGAGCAAATACAGAAGAACATTGACATGTGTGTGGAAAACAAAACTGAGCTAATAAACAGACCGTGGGGACAAGTGCTGACTCCTCACACAATTCTTAAAAATGATTTTTTTCCTGCACTAAGAGTCCTACAAACAGACACAATAGACATAAAAGGATGCTGCAACTTCAGAACAGTAGAGTTTAACGAAGACATCACAGTGGGCCTAGCGCAGCCAACAGCCTGGGGTGTGCAGTCGCTGGTAGAATACTTCAATCCCTCGGAGTTTAAGGTGCAGAGTGTCAGTGTAAGAGAAAATGGCGCTCATGAATACAATGCGAGAAATAGAGAAGTGCACTGGTTTTGTCTGCGGCAGGAGCCAGTTGTATATGTGAATGGGTTTCCCTTTGTTCTTCGCACAACTGATCTAGTCTATGAAAATGTGATCACTGAAGGCATCAACAGAAAATGGGTGGAAGACATGGAGGAAAGAATGAAAAATGACTGCATTGAAGAATCTGCAAAAGAAGGTCTGATTTTGCACAACGAAGTGATAATCGACAATGAAGCAGAGCTGTCTGCTGAAAAGGCAACGGGAAGCAGCATTCTGACTCCTAAAGAAGTATTTGTGAACCGAACGCTAAAGTACTATCGAATGCCAATATCAGACGAGCAAACGCCTCTACCTGAAATATTCGATGAACTGCACAAAATAATTTTGTCCATTCCAAAGCCCAGAATTCTCGTGTTTTCTTGCCAGATGGGCAGAGGTAGAACTACAACGGGCATGGTGATAGCACGTCTTATTGCCTTCACAGAGAGCCTTAACGAAGCTTCTTCAGATAGCAGAAAGAGAATACTGGAGGAGAAAAGATCTCAGGTAGTATATGAAGACCAGTACAGAGTCATATCAAAACTCATACAAGTGCTCCCGATGGGCCGAGAGAGCAAAAACCTGGTGGACTCCATCATTAAGGAGTGCAGCCACATCCAGAACATATACGAAGCAATTGCGCAGCGTAAGGACAACACTGGATATCTGATAAGATACTTTTATCTTGTGTGCTTTGGCTCTTTCCTCTTGGAGAAAGAAGAGAAAACATTTGCTAGGTATCTTAGCGATAGAATAGAAATAGATGTGATTGCCAACGAAAGAGAATACTAGTGCAGTACACTTTTATTTTTATGACAAATAAATAAAAAGAATACTTACTGAAATGCAAATAATTTCTAAAGCTACACCATTCAATTATTTTCGGATTTTTTAAATAAACAGAACACTTGAGAAGATAGTTCTTATCTGTTGTTATGAGTGATTGGCTGGTCAGTAGATATTTATCTTATTGGTGCATGACTGAGCTTCTTTACTGGTGTACTTAATAGTCCTATCATGTGTCTGATGGCTTTCAAATACTTACTGCTCGCTGGTTTTAGTTTTACAAATTGTTACTAACTTCTTATTTCTTGAATGGGTGCAGTGGAGAATTACCATGCTGATGTGTCAGAGTGCCAATGTCTAAGAGACTTCAGAACTATTATTGTGCTACAGAAACAGTTTGCAAATACTCACAAATAATAGGTCTATACTTGTACTCTTTTATTTAAAAATACTGGGCAATAGAAAGCTATACCAAGGAACAAATAAAAAATCAAAATGCCCATATTTAAATTCGACTGATTAATACATATATGAGTTGGCTTAGAGAAACATGGGATCGGTCTGTAAACCATGTGTATGCAACAAAGGATGCATTGCTTAAGAGCAAAGAAACTAAAGAGCCAGTCACACTGGAAACAACCGTAGAGGAGACTGCTGATGAAAACACTAATAATGAAGACACAACTTTTAGTGGGAAAATCAAGAACATATTTAATTCTTACTGGTCAAAGTGTATTCTTAAAGCTCTTGGCATAGTTTCCGTCAAAGTTCTTGGGGTAGTTGATGATTCTGTAACGAGCATAGAAGGCCACTTTGAGACAAACATTTCCAGCATGTTCAAAATGTACGTAGCGCTGTTTATAGGATTTCTGCTTATCTTCTTTTCCTCCAGCATCTACGTTATGTCTATTATCTTTTTATGCAATGCATTGTCTGGATACATCGAATTGTCTGGCATTAACAATGGGTGGTTAAGTGCGGGCTTGCTTATATTCAACTTTACGCTATACGGCATCATGACTGCTTTGTTCTACATTGGCTTAATGCTGTACTTCACTACTCTGGTTAATATTTACTACAACGACCTACACAAGGGAGACAATCTGACACGAGATCAGAAAATATACAACGTTTTGTGCATGTTTTCATCTGTCATGGTGGTTTCTTTCAACTTGATGCTGATAAGATATCGAACAACTCTTTTGTACTTCTTCAACATGACAAAAATGGGAGTCTTTGCCAATGTGTTCGTCTACTTTGTATTTTTCTACAGCAATGTGTTGATAATAAAATATCTTTACAGTATTGCGCGGCAGTATATGAGACAAAAAGTGGGAAAACAGTACACACCAAACTACGCAATAAGCTTGTACAGCACAATAGCAATATTGATTTTCAGTGTGACCATGACAATGCTGACTGGAAATGCAATTAATATGCTCTTTTATACAAAGGCAATTGCTGCCAAAATGATATTGATGTAACACAACTGATTGTATATAGTAGCACAAGGTAAACATAAAAGATAGGCATACGATTTTGCAAACCATAGCGAGTGCGTGTAGAGAAAGATTGATCCATGAGTTACACTATTTCTGTGTGTAGTAAATCACATCAATCTGGTATTTATAAATAAAAAGAATTGCACTCTCAAATATACAGAGTATTTTAAATGCATTTCTACTGACTTAATTTCTCTATGCAATCCCGTTGAATATGACTCTATGATGGGCTACGTCATCTTTAAACATCAAAACCACGGAAAAGTATTCTTTTGTGTACATGATAGAGACCTTTTCGCAGAGGCCCAGTAGATTGTTCAAGTATCTCAGGGATGAGAAATAAACGGTTACTTTATCCGTTCCTTCCAGGAGAATATCGAGAGCGCTGATCTGCACCACATCTGTGCTGCTCGAGTTTTCAGCACAAAAGTACAGAATGCCGTTTGACAGGTAGATAGATGTTTCTATGTCTGCCTGCAAATTAACAAACCTTTTAAAAACCTCTGTCTCCACAATGACCTTTGTGTTCCATTCGTCTGGAATTTCGTACGTAAAAAAGTCTAACAAAAGAGGCTGTATTGTATTCACAAGGGTGTACTTGTCTGTGTCATGCGTGAACTTAAGAGAGCCCTCTACTTCTTCGATGGAGCAAGAGTCAGAAATAGCAGCCATTAATATTTCAGTTGAGTACACTCTTGGGACTGCAGACCCTGTTGCGCTGCAGTCGCACACAGTTATGGCTGTAAGCTTTGTGGTCTTAGAAACCAGCTGAATTGAGAACTCTCCCACAGACAGGCTGCATGTGTTTGACAATTTTAAAGTCCCCAAGACCTCGTTCAATATTTCGCTCATAAAAAGAAAAAGAATTCTGTTTATAACACAATAGATTCTTTAGAGCAGAAAGATAGTAGAAGATAGAAGACCAGAGTGCCCTTCAGAAAACATCTAAAAAAGCCCAATATCACTAGAGGAATAATCATTGCAGAAATGTGGCAATTCATCAACACATGAGCTGCTCTTTTTCATTCATGCTACCTTTCTCATCAATTATATTCTGAAACTGCACGAATATTTTCATCATTATTAAAGCCAGTGCAAAGTAAATATATACTGCTAAGTTCTCTTTTATTTCTTTATATCTTTTTCTACCTTCTCTTGAAAAGGCACTCTAGATAGAACATTTAGCCAACTTTCTGTTTTCCAAATAAGCTCAACAGTGCTCCAATGCTCTCGAATCACGCACTCTTATCTTTCAATTGCAGTGTAGAAGAGCTTGGCTGTGTGCTCAGCTGTGTGTTTAGCCCACAGTGCCTTTTGGCAAATATTTTATTATTTCGCTCCACCGCTTGACAAGAGTAAAGTACTTATCCGGGCTCTTCTTCTTCAGCTTTGCAACTGTGCTGTCTCCAAAGAACATCGGAATAAACGTATTCACCAGGCATATCTCGCTTATGTTGTTGATGTGGTGGCTCTGGTGTGCGTATATCATGAGACAAAACAGCAGCTGAATGATCTGAATGGAGTACGCACTGTTCTTCCTGTATATGCTCTGGATGATTCTGGGAATGTCTGTTTTCTTGTACTCTGGCCCAATAAGCGTCTCCAAAAGAGACTTGTCCACCAGACAGTCGAGCTTCTTCAGCAGATAGAGCTTGACAAAGCCAAAGACGTCTTTGTTCGAGTGTTTTTCGTAGTTGATGCTGTTGAACTTTTTGAAGTT